CAGCGGTATTCGCTGACATGAGGTAATCTTAAAATCGCATGAAACATAAGTAATCAATCACATTGAATCTGAAAGAAACGTTTGGTTTTTAGAAAAACGAAAAATCTGGTGAAAACCAAGTTTTAAAAAGATTAGATTAAGACTGTTTCCACTTACTATAAAAGGTTTACAACATAATGAGCTGAAAACTTCAGAATTTACAATGTTTAAGCTATGCTCTACTACTGATAAATATTGTAGCTATATAAAAAGAATATTATATTGTCATTTTAATCTCTAGAGACTTAGAATACTTCTTTCCAGTATTCAACCACTTACTTTCGAAAATAATTCTGAGATTTCTTTTTATTAAGAAAAGATGTATCTCCGGTTTTGGGCTTCTGAACAGCGAAAATTCCACATCTTCACATATCACTGCTTAAAAGCTATTAAAAAAACAACGTACTATATTTTGACGCTGATGGTAGACACCGATTAAAATTGAAGATGCTATGAAATCTGCACATTAAATCATTTTTACTGAACTTTTAAATAGAGTTACTATTGCAAATGTCAGATACTAGACATTTAAGATTAGATAACTTTTGTAGTCACACTTCCAAAATGACACGATGACCGTATGTTAAGCTCTTATTCTTTCTTAAGCGAAACAATAGTATAATCTTATAAATATATCCATAGATAATAATAACTTTTTCATATTCGACATTCAACACTTTGTAGACAAAAGAAAGATAAACTACTCGTCTTTACATTGGACACACGAGTAGTTTGAGCCAAGATTAAGAGTTAGTGCCAGAATTGTCAGAAATTGAGACGCGATTTTTAATTAAATGCACGTACACGAAATGCACTACAATTGAACAATATGTATCGTTTGTGTCATGAACAAAAAAATTAATTTTAATATCTATGGTTTCTCTCTGATCGTGCTTATTCTTGTTTGTTCAATCGATCATTCATTCTGTAGTTCAAGGCAGTATCATCATCACAATGACTTTTATCGAACATGCCTTGATCTAAAATTCATTTTCTTTTTTTTTTTAATATAACAGAATCATCATATTTCAGATATGCGGTACGATGGAAATAATATATTTATGTTTGCATATCTTTCTCTCTGTTAAAGAAAAAAGACTTTGATTTTTTTTTTTTTCATTTTTTTGTAGCTAGTATGACCTTACTGTGTATGCACATTGACAGGTTATAAGCATTATCCCATTATTTATTCATCACTTTCTTTCTTCTATGGAATAGGTTGAACAATTTTTAAAGGTGTGTGTGAGACTGAAAAGGTGTTAAAATCTTTAATGCGGCACTTTTCTTTTTGAAAAATGAACATATTATGAATTTATTAAGAGAAAAGAATGAACATCTACGTGTCATAGTATTGGAAAAAACGAAAAAATTATTATTTGTTTGCAGTAAAAAACATCGTTGGAATCTAGATGGAAACACGTTCATTACATACTCACATACAGGATAGAGAGTATTTAGTTACACCCATTTAAAAATATATTGGGACAACATCAACTGTTTGTCACTATAATACAACAACAAATAAGATAGAGAGTCAATTTCATTGTTTACAGGAAAATGGTATGTGTTGAAAGAACACGAAGGTACATTTGTACTAGTTATATATCTGACCATGTCTGAAAAGTGGAAGTAATCTTCTAAACGTATTTAAATTTATAAATCACATCTAAATTTCTTTAGTCATAACACACGAGAGAAGAATAATTACGATAAGTATATAACAATGCATGTATTTGAATCCATTTTAAATGTTCTGCTCCTTCGTTTGTCGAGTGTTACCTGTAAAAAAAAAAAAACGTTTTTTTTTTTTTTATTAGTATTGATCATCTAAACGTTCGTGCTGATATTTGGTATAAACTCTCTATAATCTAATATAATCATCATTGTGACTTATTCATTGAACTGGAAAAGAAAAAAGAGAAAGAACAGTTCAAGGTTTCTAATACAACAAATAAATTCCATAAGTGAAAACTGATCGTTTTTTAAAAGAAAAAAAAAAAGAAAAGATTCTGATATTAAAAGTAGAAGAGAGTAATTGTATATGTTTTATATGGAATACACAATTAATCAAAACATGTACAGTTTCAAATACAAGAGAAAGAGAGAATAAAAATGCAGCAAGCCTTCAAGCACAACTAAGAAAACATGATCAAAAATCTATTGATCAAATAAAATACATATTTTCTCGATGTTCTTTTTTTTTTTTTTTCTTCTTCTTCTTCAAATCTTATATCTGTTCATAGTAAAGTATCAATCAGTAGAAAGAACAACTTAATCATAAAAACTTTCTCCTCCTTTATATGTCACCACAGGATATATTTATTTTTTCATATACGCTTGAAAACATTCTTGTAATATATTTCTGTTAAATTAATAAACACAGACTGCTACCGTATGTTTCGTAATAGAAATAAACATAAGAACAATTAAAACTTTTCGTTTCGTAATATCCGCAAGAAAGAATCAGAAGAAAACTAATTAATGTATTGCAATCTTAATTTAAATCATTCTCAGATTATAGAAAAATTTCTCTAAAATGACATCTAACGTGATCTCTTCAGATTAATTGATTTTTTTCTAAACAAATTTTTTAAACATTGTTAGAATTTGATTATTTTCACTTTCAACTGCCAATTTTTGTTTTCTTCTACTACTGAACACAATGATATGATATTCGTATTTTCTACTATCCATAATTCTATGCCCATTTCATCACTTTCTGATAGACTGCCTTAAAAAGATTGATTTTTCATGTTCAATCTATATCATCAAAAGAAGAAAATCCTATTACCTATCTATGTATTCTGTTCAAGGATTGTTTGTTTATATGAGCGATAATTAAATATTATCAACTGCTAGTTTTTAGCCAAGAGGTGAACATTTATCATCGAGCAGTTTATATATTGATTAATTTATCGCTTCGTTTCCATATTTTTGTCTTAAAGGCAATTATTTTACCATGAATTATCACAAATATAAAATAATAGACAACTATAGTAGTAACACGTCTATAAATGAGAATACAGTATGCTGTTCAAATGAAAGAAAAATTTTGTTTCTCTTCGCGTTCTCATTATAGACGATTTGATAACAATAACGACGGTATCTATTTGCCTTGAAGGTAATAAAAAAGAGTCCTCTTTTGTTTTAAACGATAATGATAAATATAACAGTTTATTCTTATCAGCAGGCGCATGCCAAAATAGTAAGTATACTTTGAAAAGGAAAATATAAATTTCCAACTGTGTGTACGATCGATTTCGCATATTTAAATTAAAAATACAGAACGAAAAACAAAAAATGAGATAATTACTCGAAAAATACTATCTTCTTCTTTGAAAAAATAAAGAATCTGTAACTCAACGTGAAATTCGACGCATCTCTTTTATCAATCAATAGAAGAATGAAGAGAGAAGATGAAACATAATATTATTAGGAGAAAAAAAAATGTGTTTCATTCATTCGTTTCTCATTCCGTTCGACTTCTTTCACTAACCGTAACAAATTATAATTATTAATGCATCGGATAACACATAGTCATTGAACATGAAATCAAGTATCATTACGCGTAAAGATCATAGAAGACAGTTTGTTTAACTAATCCTAAAAAAGGAAAGAATAGTTGTTTTACTTGAATAAGAGACGTTAGACTACATTTAAAACTAAAAGACAATGTAATATTCTCAAAAATTAAAAAGAATCTTATTCAAATATTTGACTAAATTATTAAACTAGTTAGAATTCGTTTACTAAAAAAATGTTTCTATTTTTCCTAGTTGTTTGATTAAATGATGCAATTATTACTAAATTAAGTCACATTTAGAATATAAGCTTTCTCATCTTCTCATTTACTAACTAATGATCATATTACTAAATGATCTAACTGATATTTCTATCAGTACAATAACTTTATTTTCTATTCTATAAAAATATATTTAATCACGTCTATATTCTTCAAACATATCGTATTAGAACAATCAGTCACTAAACATAAGAATCTTTTTCTTCTTTTACACTAACATTAATCGTTAATGATTATTATTGTTGAATGAGACTCGTGTTCTTGGTCACGTACATGTTCTGTTGAATATGAATCATTTAATTCAATGAACTTCAAAAAACGAAGAAGTAAACATATGTACTGAAAAATAGACAGTACAGTTCTTTCAGAAAGGAAAAGAGAGAGACAAAGAGAGAGAGAGAGAGAGAGAGAGAGCAAGGGAGAGAGAAAAAACTTTTACTTTTTTTTTTCGTTCGGTTTTTTTCAGTGGTAGAAAGAGAGCAGTCTCAACGACAAATGTTCAATGATCATCATCGTCATGTATATATCTACGTACAGAAGCAGGAAAAACTGTTAATATTGTTGTACTACTAAAAAGTTCCATACAACATTTACTCTGATCATAAATATGTACATTTTTAAAGTGAAGGTGAATATATGTAGATGAGATTAAAGTAGAGAGGAAAATGTGTATATAAAAACACGAATTGATCACACACACACACACACATATATAGATATACAGCGGAATGTGTTAAAATTTATCGTTTCTTATGTAAGTACAAAAAACAGCAAATTATCTGGACCTGATGGTCAAAAGTTAGAGCAATACTAATTGAAATAAAATGGATCGCGTAGGTAAAGTTGATGTAATTTAAATTATCGAAAAACATAAAATCGACCTTGTACAAACAGAGACACCCACCAAACACATGAATTTAGTTTTCTGCTTGACTGCAAACGTAAATTTATTATTTCTTGTCTACCTACTGTTGTAGTTGTGCAATAGACTCGATATAACTCTTATTGATTATTTTTTTTAATTTGCTAAAGTGTCAATAATCTACTCATCTTTCTACATTCTTAAAAGTAAGTCGATTCTAATGAAATGTTTATTCTCTTCTAGAAGTACTATCTAATCAATTGACTAATGAATTGGTTAAAAACTAAAACATTTTTAATGATAATTATTTTCATTATTTATCTATTGAAATTTATTGCTACATCTTCTTCAACGATACAAACAATTAAAGTACGAGAAAATGTTAACGTGACATTAACATGTCGTCTATATAGTGGTCTACGACAAGAACAACAACGAAAAATTCCATTAAAAACATTAATATCATCATCATCATCATCGGAAGGCATTATTCTATGGTACAAAGATGATACAACTGTTATTGGTGTCAATTCAATATCGAATGATCCAGCAAATTACATTATACAACAATTAGATTTTGAGACATATGAATTGACAGTGTTGCATGTTCAATTAGAAGATACTGGTGAATATAAATGTCAAAATTTTACAGCAAAAGAAGAAAATCGTTTTCAATTAACGGTCATAGGTTAGTAAATCACATTTTGTTTTTTAAAATCTCTCTTCCGTAGCGCATTTTAGTCAAATGATGAAATATATTTTGTAGATCAAAATATACTTGATTAACGTTTGAGTAGATTTCAGTTTTTAAAAAATAAAAATAAAACTCTACTTTCTTTTAAGTTTTAAAATTAGGCAATGACAGCTTACGTAGTAACTACTTGTAAACTGCATCAAGGATTATTGTTTCTTTAAACACAATGACGTTTATCAATTAGAATAACAGATTTATGACAAGACAAATGTGATGGCTCTGATATATGAAAATGAGTAAAAAAAGAAATAGGCAACTGTCATTTTTTCTGGTAAACGTGTATTAAATAAAAAACGACGCGCTTTTGTTCAGTGTCTCATATTAATCATATGCATGATATAAATATCTAAATTATCCTTCTGCTAGTATGATTATGATTATTATTATTGTTGTAATATGTCATGCAAGACTATATACATGGTGAGTTACGTGCTTGCGTGTACGCATGCATTTTCAATACGTTAATTATTGCATAACAGACTATACAGAAATAAGAAATGTTTATAAATTATATCTTCTGTTTGTGTTACTAACGAAGAAAAAAACGATGTAGTAATTCTAAACAAAAAAAATCTATTTCTTATTTATAACAACAGCTGTTAGTCGTATGGAAATGTCATCATTATATATTTAGCGTCAGTAAAATGAGTCATAGACATTGTAGTTTATCTACAAAATTCTTTTTTATTTGTATTCCTCAAGCAAATTGTTAAATATTTTACGTAATCGAAATTATTATCTCTTTTTCTCATCTCTATTAGAGTTTATTTCTATATAGGAGAGATGATTGTCTACATCAACAACACATTGACATTTGTGTGCTTAAATTATAGAAGAAAAAAAAATTCTATACATTGAAACCATAAAAATAGTTCTAATATTAAATTACTAAAAAAGAAAGGAAAAAAATTAATTTTTGATTCCATATTCTTTATTTAATTATTGATGAATATTGCATAATAGTAATAGGACAAAAAGCATTGCGTGTGATAAAATAGCACTTCCGTCTTACTCATCAAAATCTACTTCAGTTTTTCATATGAAGTTTTTCAATGAAATACCATCAAACGGATCTTTGTTTATTATTTGAACTATTTTTTTGCGTATGATCTATAATTTGTTAATAAATAAATAAATAAATAAATAATAAGTGAGGTTAGTTTATAAATCATAACCGGATGAACTGTCTGTTGCACGTAGGGTCAACTAACATATTTAGAAATGAAAATAAAAACCTAAAGGTTACTCATATATCTATGTATATGTATATGTATATTGATCGATCGAAAATACAAACAACAGTCGTCCAATCAATTATAAACTCTGAGAGATCTGTTCAATACCAAAAAGAATGTATCTATTTTTTTCTTTTAACATATCAAATAATTATTTTATGTTCTTTTCTCAGATATTTATAATGACGCTTTTCCATGACTATGCCATTGTATCATATTTGTACGCATGTACCAAAAAATAAAATAAAAATGAGCATGTTGTTCACTAAACAAACGATTGATTAAGATCGTTAGTCATCATTTTTCCACACATCAATTTTTAAACAAACAAGAGACATATTATGAATACAGCTGTAAGTGAAAGTCAATCAATAACAAATCTGTCGCAACGTTTAATAGCGATCGTTTTTTTTCCTTTATATTTTTATATTTTCAATTGTCTGAAAACGATACATGTGAAGATACGTTCTTTGAAACATTGCGTGTGACTATTTTGTTGACCGCTCTATTGTGAGCAAGTCTTAATTGTGACATTAATTACAGAGAATTGTTCCATTATAACAATTAGTTTCAATAACTCGAATAAAAAGAGTGAAAAATAAAATGAAAGACTAAGAGAGAACAATTAGTGAATAAACAATATGATCTGAATAGTTAGTTTTTCGTGAGTTCTATCATTTGTGTCATCTTTCTCGTTATACTAACAGAGAGACATGTCGATTAATTAGATGTTCGATTAATTGAAATATTCACACGTTCAACAGATATGATAATAAGAGATACACCTTGAAATAATTATAGGTAAAGATTCAACACAATAACAAAAGGTGTGACAATTGCGTGTATGTGTGTGTTGGAAATAATAGACTAATCGTTGACAAAAACATTTGGCTGCTATTTAATTTATTCTGTATAAGACGCTTTAGAGATATGTGAACATGTCGTTTAAAACAGGTGATAAATGTGATACAACACCTATAATGAATAAAAACAAGAATTTTCAAAGCAGATGCTAGAATAAGGAGGAATTTGTCGAATATATAATAAACTAGTGAAAAAATGCACATTATGAAAATTTCTTTTACAGTTACTACATCTAGCGTTCATAGTGGAGAAATAAAATTGTTTTATGGAATTTGAAACTACGTACAGTTACTGGTATAAATAACCTATTGTTCAAAGAAAAAAAGAAAAGTAGAAGAAAAGTAGAAGGGTCTCAGATATTTTAATAATAAAAAAAATGAGAAATTCAATTGTGAGAAAACTGCTTATATTGTAATATTCAACAAATATGTGGATTTTTTTTCTATAAAAGCTAATTAAAATGTAGATCACTCTTTTAATATGTTGAAGATTTTCGTTTTTAGTACCACCATCTCGACTTCGTTTAAACGCGTCACCACACCTTCCCGTTCATGAGGAAACAGCCGTATCATTTAATTGGTAAATGTTAATTTTAGTTTACAATTGGTTAGTGTTAGAATATTATATTTTTATATTATTTTAGTACAACTGAACGTACATATCCCAATCCAACATTTGAATGGTACATAAATGATAAATTAATTCAAAAGTTAGTGAATAGTGATAAAACTTTGGTCTTCTAAACTAATTGTAATTTATTTTTAGATATTCTGGAAATCAAACAAGTCAATTTTCTAGTTATTCGATAATATCGTTAAAATTAAATCATGATGATAATTCAAATATTTTACGTTGTCAAGTGTCTAATGAAGCTAGTACAAAAGAAACAAATATTGAATTGAAACTTGAAGTATTTTGTAAGTAACTAACCGTTCGATATAAGATAAAATCAGAATATATGCATTAGTTCACTACATAAACAAAATTTATATCTTTAAGTTTGTATTATTTTAAATAACCATCAACTCAAACACCTCCTTATATATGCCATATTAATGAACTTTGTTTGATGTATTTACACATGTGTTAAATCTCATCATTTGACTTTTATTTTTAATATTCTATTCTTGAAAAGAAAGAACAAATAAATGACAAATAGAGAAAATGAGAAAGAGAGAAAGGAAGTAGTCAATTTAAAATTGAGTTTTGATGGTGTTAATAGCTGTCTGTCGGAACTATAAAAGGTAAACATATTCAAATATTATCCTTTCTTTTTCTATCACTATTTTTAACTTTTGTAAGATGTAGTATCAAAAACCAGTTAGGTTTACTAATTGCTTATACTCGAATTCCAGTATAAGATCGTTGAAAATGGAAATGATTTTTTGAACAAATTTTTGGAAAAGAAAGATCTTCTCTCTCTTTTTTCTTTATTTAAAAGTTATACTATCGATTTGAGTATTTGACAACAACCGTTAATGAGTTATAAATCTATATGTCTCGTCGCGAAATCTTCGAAAACAATAGTGACTAGAATGAGAGAGAAAAAGAGAGTGAGATGAGGCGAACAATGACAAAAGGAATGTAAAACTTAATAAGTACGATTGTCATGAAGCGCAAATGTTCTTACAATTAAGCATACACACGTACATACAGTATGTACAGTGAGAGACAATATGAACTTTTTCTACAGTGGATTAATATAACTTATAATCATAAAAAGAATTTGAAGTACACACCTATACACTTTTAGTTTTTAGACGATATATTTATTAGAAGAAAGAGAGCGAGAGAAAGAGAGTGAGAGAGAAAAACAAGTTTTGTTTTATTCATTTTTCTTTATAGTTAAGCCCATCGTCAATATATTTTGGAAAACAAAACAAGTTCAACGAACATTAACCGTTATCGAAAATACATACGATATAATTCAATGTTCAATAATTGCTAATCCGTCTCAAAATAGTATTGAATGGTTAAGAAATGATCAATTAATAAACGGTATGTTCTATCAAATCACTTATATGTATCAATTTGTGTGGCATTTTTTCGGTTAACCGTATTTGACTATAGCAAAATGATATTATATGTGATAATTAAATATATTCTTCAGTTTTTTTGTCTAACATCTGCTTATACTTACAAAGAACTTTTTTTTTACTCAACAAACAATAATAACAACAGCGAAGGACATTTTTTTGGTATTTGATTCGAACTACGTTGTTAATTTCGACTTTCTTCATTTTAATTTGATAAGTCTAGATTAATCAATGTTCAAGTGTCAATTGGAAACACTTAAAAGAAAAATGACAATGTAATGTAGTTTAACTTGAAGCCTTATGCAAATATAGAGATCAATTAATACTATTAAAAAATGTCGATAGTTGTTCACTTTACACTCTTACACAAAATAGTATAACTAACTGTTCAATATTGACTTTATTCTCTATTTCGAATTTCTATCTCTATGAACAAGAGTATTCAATCTCGTTGTCACACACTCTATGAAGTGAAAGAAGAGAGTATGGCTGTTAGATTCTTTATTTATTACAGAAAATATAAATTCATATGAGTCTTGAAGATGAGTGTATTGTTTGAATTAGAAATATATTATTCATTTTTTTTAGAAATAAATGCGTGTCTATCTACAATATAAAGTTTTACTTAAAAGACAGCGTTAATAAAAATAGTAGTCATGTAGAGCCATTGTAAATTATATTATTATGTCTATCTATCAAAAATAAGACTTCCGGCATAGACGCATCGCTCATGCAACACAATATAAGAAAGATTATCTATCATTATCTTCTTCATAAACAACACGAATGAATTTCATACAATGTATAGTGTCGAAATAAGAAGTATAACTAGTGTTGTTGTACCATCTTAATTAGCAAAAAGTGTACACGAAAAATATTTTTTTAGATTTTTCATATTATGTTTTTTCTAGGTCAAAATCAAGATCAATTGTATTCTAATTTTACTCAATCAGATGAAGGAAAATTAACATGTCGTGTTCGAAATACGGCTGGTATCTCTGAAGCTAGTGTTAATGTGATTGTTTTATGTAAGTAAGAAGAAATATGTAGATAATAGAAATTGTTTATATTTAAATTTTTTCTAATTCAAAATAGACAAACCAAAATTATCTCTCACACCAAAAATTATATTGAATCAAGGAGAACGATTAAATTTAAAATGTTCAATTAATGCAAATCCATCATGTCATAGTATTCGATGGTTTCATTTTGATCAAGAACTAATCAGTCTACCATGTTCAACAAATCAAAATTTTAGTGAATATACTATTCCATCTGCTTATCGACTTCATTCTGGAAAATATACATGTGAAGTAAAAAATTGGTTGAATACTGGTATTGATCGTAAAGAAGCAATATCAAATGTAACATCCGATGTGTGGATACAGTGTAAGTATTAAAATTTATGTTTTAAGAATATGTTTATTGATGAAAAATTCTATTTTCTACTTTAGATGCACCATTTATCTTGAATAGAGAGAAAAAATTTGCCGTATTTGAAGGACGTGAAATAGTCTGTGAATGCATTGTTGACGCATTTCCAAAATCAGAAATTAGTTGGTAAATAGTAGTTAAACAAAGAAAATTATAAAATAAGAATAAAATTTAAATATTACAGGTATGCTCCAAGTGGACAACGATTGAGCTCATTTACAGAAGAGAAAAGTTTAAATGCCACAGTGGTTGTTAGCCAACTTCATCGTAAGTACATACATTCTCTCTGATAGAGATACGTAAAGCAAACGAATGTTTTTCTTTTATAATTTTAGTTCCACCTTCATACTCATCCATGTTAGGATTATATCGGTGTCAAGCAAAAAATGAGTTTGGTCAACACGACTATTCTATCCAATTTCAACGACCAGGTTTGCATCAAGAGACATATGCATCTAATTTTAGTATAAAAATACACTATAATTTCATTATTTTAGGCATTCCTGATCCGCCATCTGCATTACAAATCATCAATCTTACTCATTCTTCGTTCACTGTTGGTTGGACGCCTGGATATGGTCAGTTAGCCGATTAAAGAGAATTTTTCTGTAAACTAATTAATTCTATTTTTCTAGCTGGTGGATCATCGCAAACATTTTATGTTTTACTAAATGGTAATCAAACTGAAGAAAAACGAACGAGTTCTACTCATCTACGATTCACAGGTAAATAATAGCAACATTTTCATATTTTATATTTGAAAACCTATCTTTTGATAGATCTTAATGAAAAAATGAGATATTTTGTCAAAATTCGTTCAAAAAACACTTATGGTTTTAGGTAAGTTTTTTAATAATTTAAAAATTAATAGCGAATGAATTTTATTTTTTTCCATTATAGTGATTATTCAACGAGTGTAATAGCGCATACCACTGAATGTCCTGTCCGACCTGATGGTAAAATTGAATAGAAATCTATCTGAATTCAATTTTAGATTATGATTATATTTAGACTTTCCATCGATACAGCAAGCATTTTATACTGTCGATCGTAGTCGGATACGTTTCAAATTAGGACAAAACACGTTATCAATTCAAAACCGACAATTGTGCATTAAAATTTTTAATGCTCGTTCAAATATTTCTCCGTCTATTGACGATGTTAGCCGTGATGACAATACCAGTAGTAGTGTTGATGAAAATATTCCATGTATTTTAATTGACAATAATGTTCAATCAGACGGTATACCATTAACAATTCAATATGTTGATTTGAAAATAAAATTATGTTTATACAATCAAACCGATGTATGTTCATCTCCAGTACAAATTCCCACTGGTGTGCCATTATCTGGCGATTCATCAGAACTTATACTAATTTTAACCGGTAAATTATGATAAGAAGTACTCTTGTTTCATATAATACATAAAAATTTGTTATGTTTAGGTGTTATTGCTGGATTATGTGCTATTGCTCTACTGATTATTATCACTGTGTGTTATCGTCGACACAAGAGAAAACAAAGTAGTTCGACAGGTATTTATTTTACAACTCTACATTAAATTTAATTTATTAATACGGTTTCTATTAATATTTAGATAAATTAAAACCAAAGTAAGTCGTTTACCAAGAAGAAACTTTCTTGAAATCATTATACTTTATTCTGTATGTTTTGTGTTTTTTAGTAAGCAAAGTTATCCAAGTAGTACTTTCGAAAGTTTTCATGCTACACCCGTGAGAGTAGTAGATGGTTCAAACACAAATACATGTCTATATTATCCTCAAGCAACAATAAATGAACGTATGTACCCATACCATAGGTCAACAGTATAGCTCATTACAAAATCTAATTTTACTACTATTTTATGTTTGTAGCAAAGAGAAATGGTAACAATACATTTTATAATCAAAGTCAAATTGAAGATTTTAAAGGTGTTTATTCTATACAAGGTTAGTACGGTCTCTATTAATTTCTGATGCTTACTGTGTTTGGAAGAGCGTTAGTAGTGATATACATCTATTTCAGATGTTATCACAACAGGTTTTGCCAATGTTAAACGAGGCCTGAAATCCAGCTCAGATTAATAATAATAATGTAATTATTAACAACAATTATGTCCGTATCTTGTGTTTTTTGAGTGATATGCGTAATGTGTGCAATTGTATATTCCATATAGAACGTGTGATATCAACTTATATATAGTCAGCACTTCTGTAATGTCAACGAACACTATAATTGAGTATATTAGTTTCGAAATCAATTACTACTTTCTCGGTTCTGTGTCATTCTCATTCAATCATCCAGCTATAACGTTTCAAGGAGAGCACATTAGAGCATGCAAGATTTATAAGAGATGGCTAATACTGTAGATAGAGAGCTATGACATACAAATCATCTCAGAAAGAGTATCTACTATTTCGAAGAACCGTCAAACGTTTGTAAGCTTTTGAGTAATAAATGTTCAGATGTATTTAATATCAAGTTTTAATATGAGATGACATATTTGTGCACAAAACATACACAAACACAAACACATTTTACACACGCATATTCTGCACAATGTGTTTTCTTACACAGCAGACTGACCTAGTCAACTAGAGAAAAAAGATGTCACAAATGCTTAAATTCATCGCAGAAAATAGGGCTGTTTTGTCTTTTCGCATCGATTATCACACGATCTAGTCAATTTTTTTCTAAATTCTCGAAAACGTTCATCTTTTATAAAGATAAATTTTTTGTTTTAGATAAGAACTCAACGTGTTTTGACTCTGGGATGCCTAGCACTAGTAATTCTGATTCAGCTGTTTCACATTCAATATCAGAACTTGATGGTGGACTATATGATCGTACCGAAATCGAACAACTAGTAACGTTAAGAAAAAAAATTTTACCTGATGCTCAACAATTTTTAAATAAATTAAATATGTCATTAGATGCAACAGCAGCACCAACAGTACAACAACAAGCCGTCTATACAACGGGACGAGCACAAATTAACTCGAATTTAATATCGAGAATCTCAAGCGAAGAAGAATCGGGTTATTCGACGCCAACTAAAGGAAAGAAACTTGTTTATGAGGTTGTCGTCTAATTTCTACTCTTATCTAAGTTATTTCGTGCAGATATTTCTTTTTATTTTACCGTGTTTAATATTGTTGTTAACTCTTCTTTGTTGTTTCATGTTTTTCTATTAAACCTTCCAGATATATTTTTAATAAAATACTTGCTTTTCAGCTAAAAACGTAAAATATGGACGGTTTTATATTCATACTTAATCTGCTCTTATAACGCTGTCTGCTGAGCAAGTTTTCTGAAAATCTTAAACGACAGTTAGCCAAATAAGTGGCCGTTTTTAAGAAAACATATCACAGACAAATATCTGTGGCATGCATGCATATCAAATTGTCCGTGGTGAAAAACCTGTATAAAACTATAAGTAAATATCTTTGCAGTTTGATATTCTAAGAAGAATGAAATTTCTGACAGCAAAAAGCAATTTGCGTTTTTCTTAAAATTTCTCCGTCAAATTTAGTGCTTAAGAGGGCAAATTGGTCTTAAATTATAGGCGAGTTAACAACGTATAAGAGTCGTATTTCGATGTAGACTTTTGATTTTTTGGTATACAGATTCTTATGGAAAAGAATTTTTGATGATATTGGGAGTTTGAGTAAATTCGTCATATAATTTTTCAAGGAAAAATATCAAAATCAGACTCTTGTACGTTCTGATATTTTAAAACCAATACGAATTTTCCATAACTTAACTTGATGGAAGAATCTTGTAATTAGTAAACCCCTCGTTTTGACCAGTATTTCAGAACTCTTTGCCAAAAGCTGATAGATGAGGCCTCGAAATCTGGATCAAAAATTTTGATAAGTTATATAATATCGCAGTTGAATGAAGTATCATCTAAAATTATCCACTTGAAAAAATATTTTTACAAGTTGTCAGAGTTCAACTGAAACGGTAAGACTTTCATATGAACAGAAATTGACCATTATCTGACATAGTATTTCTACGAATAAATTGTTTTCTGTTATTATAAAATGCATTAATTTGATTCACAAAGACTAATAATAAGTCAGTTTATTCTTTACTAGACTGGCTGGACCGCTTCTAACTTTGCTCATGCTCGAGAGATAACTGTAATTAGTTCAGTTGATTAGAGCTGCTACTAGGTTTCGCGATAAATTCGAAAAAGAAAAAAATAATCGATGGTGATAACCGTATTTAAATGAACAAGCAACAGCGTTTATGGTTAAATGGCAAAGTAAATATTACTTCTGTTATGTATTACCTTCATTTTAAACCAGTTGTACGAACGAGAAAATAAACAAATGGCCATAATCATAAAATTTTTATCTTAAAATACTGAGATCACTTATTTTCATATATATCAGATTAATCTTCGAATGCCCTAGACAGAAGATGTTGCGAAAATTAATCCGTTTGAACTCATTTATGCAAAAATCAATTTTAAGTTTTTTTGTACAAGTTAAATTAGCGAAATATGTGCACGAAGAGTAAAAGAATAACAATATCATCAACTCCAACAAACTGTCCGAATATCTATATGATAATGACCTTTATGAGTATCTTCAATCCGACTTTTTTCGAAAAATGCCTTAGAAATATCTTCATAAACAAACAATGGCTCAAAATTACACGTTTTTCGACAAAGGCACATAGAATAAGTCGCTTTTTTTTTGATTGTTCTTTCTCTATTATCAATCATCAAACCAAAATAAACAGCACAATGTTCTTTATGTAAAACAACACTTATTGCCAAGTTCTTGTAAAAGAAATTCATATTCATTTATCTGCGGAATCATCGCGAATAAATGCATATTGTCACGATCGATCTGTATACAATATATGTTAAAAAAAGTAATAAATATATTGGTTAATATATCGTTTGTAACTCGGTACTTAATTGATTTTCAAAAAGTTTATTCTCTTATGCGAAATTCAACCACCAGTTTTTTTTTTGACACTTCAGAAATAAAAAAGAATCGTGCATGTTTCTCAAATGATTATTTTCTTCAGATTATTGTATCTCGAGTGGTGTTCGATTTGTGTTGTAATATTGTACACTTGACGATTAGTCGTACGGATGAAGATTTTTTTTGTATTTCAGAATATTCAAAAAGAAAATGTGGACTTCAACTCAGAAATAAAGCCGATGCTGCTACTAACAATAACAGTTGTTTAAATTTTACGTAACAAATTTTACAGGAAAATGTTGATGGAACAAGATGCTGTGTCATTTGAAACTTCTTTAGAGTAGGTTTATTTGTTTTTCTAATTTCCATTGAATTACTCTTAGAGTAAGATAACACTGGAGAATTTGTGAGCTTAGTGCTTTGAATACGATTAATTTTCTCTAGGACAGGCTGTATGACTGTGCTTTTTGGTATAAAAAACTAAAAATCCATATAAAAATGCGTTTAAGTGGATGCTCACATCAAATTTTTGTTGTCTATAGTTTTTCATTTTATACAAACAAGAAATCATATTGTAAGAAAAGGTTTCTTAGATGAATTCAAATCAATAAATATGATCGAGCGCAACTGAGAGGCTTCGATAAGTTTGTAAAACCGTGCTAAAACAACTGATCTTCACTTTTCGCTTTTTTTTTCTTTTGTGTCTATTTTTCTTAATTCTGTAACAAGAAAAATATGTTTTTTTGACTCTTCTGAACAAAACTTACAAGATTCAAAAAAGACCGAATCGTGATAAATAAACACAATATTCTACATGATCATTTTGATGTTTATACTTCTTAAAATAAAAGGTTAAAATAAAAAGTATCAGCATAACTGTATGAAAATATATACGTCAAATGACGCTTAGAATCTAAAAGATGAGAATTGTGGATACTCATAGCTCAACAACAATCAGGTTTTTTCTTTCTGCACTGATAAAATACTATCGTATTCTATTTTTTTGTTATTTATTTTTCAGTAATTTTGGCAAAGCTATTCGTCATCCAATATTAGATGATACAAACAAAATGATGAAAATAATTGCGAATCCTGTCTACGATAAACAAACGGTAGCAAGAGCATCGAGGCTTTATCAACATTTTATGCCATGCAATAGAAATGATGACAAAATATTTATGAATACGAACAGCGGAACAACGTATTCGAAAACAATGGTATTTATAGTTTATGTTTTCCATATCTTTTAGATATTCTGAAGTCCAAAGCTAAATCTGTAGCTTTTCTGAGACATTCAATTTTCTAAAAAATTCCATGAACGTTGAGAATGTAAGTATAAATAATTTGCATGACTGATAGATAGCATGCATTAGTTACACGAAATGAATTCATGAACTTTATATATGCTCTATGATTAACGATTGACTATCAAACAGGATGTCACTACATTGTAAAAAGTGTCTCGTGTCTAACTAGACGCAGAAGTGTCTAGTCTTGTTCCAGGTTGCTGAAGTATCTAAAATAAGACGTTTGTAACTTGATGAAGGAGTCGACTTCTTCATCAAGTTATGTTTTATCCGTGTTATTTTCCAAGATGAATTAGGATATGCGATTGTAAAAGCATCTGAAAGCGTATTTATCTCTACTTTAATCACACATTCTCATCCCTGAGTGTGTACAAGCACGTATACATCCTCAACGAGAATATGTAATTCGGTTAGCTCTTATCTCATGGTACTTACGTTCGCGACTCGCTTGTTTGCGTTCATTATTTGTAGTATCGCGTTCAGACTATAATAAATAAGTCAGAATAAGTTTTTCACTGTTGATAGGTACGTATTTACAGGCATTTATTCTTATTTTGACTTATTGTGGTCTGAACACGGTTTAAATGAAGCAACCCAACCACTTTTCGATGAGTATTTCGAGTGCTCCAAAATATACTTTTGATGGAATATACTTTTTTGCCCTCGCCTACAGCTCGACCCCTCGAAAAATGAGACCTCGGTCCCTCGATATAAGCGTTCGAGGGGTTATCGATTTCGAGGCCCCGAGTTTCAGATAGGTAGCGAGCCCTTCGAACGATTTTTCTGTCTGTATGGAAACCAATGGCAAACTTATAGATAAGAAAACCGATGTAATTTTTTAGTCCAAAAGACAAACATTTGTTTTTCAGTTTTCGCGTTGACAGTGGGCCAAAAAAGTACCCCATAGTGGGACACTTTCCAAAGTCATTCATCGCCCAAAAAAGCGCTCGAGACGTTTGTATTTTTTACTACAGCGCAAACCGAAAGGACGTCTTGTTTTTAAAGTTTTTGAAAGACGGAATCGATGTTTACTGCAACAAATGTTGACTTACTTTTTCTAGAGACCATTATCAACGCAGGATTCCACACTGAAGCATGTGTCGTGTTCACGCAGCAATGCAGATAGACCTTCAACATCAGTAATGACGAAAACAACAACTCATCACATAAAACCAACTTCTCTGTTACCGAATGGTTTGAAAGATGATGCGAAATTACATCATTCTTCTCGCCCTTCATCGTCTCGGACGTCAACAGTACGACCAAGTAATCACAGTAGTAGTAGTGCTAAAACTAAATTACCAAAAGAAGGTACAGTTCGCTATGTGATGACAAAATACGGCCTTGAAGTTCGTCGATATTCAACTGATAAGTGGCTCAACATCGATCTACTCGCGAAAGATGCTTGTACTACGCAGGAGCGAGCATACGCCGAGATAATGGAAAAAAAACAGCAGTATGAGAGAATGTCAAAACGAATTTATGCATCGGAATATTACGAAAAACGTTTGAGAGAGCTTCTATTGTTTCGAAAGTCGGGTATTATGTCTCACGAAGAATGGGCAAAACAAAGTTATCAATTGTTATGTGTTAAAACGTTGCTTGATCGTTCGCTAAAACAGGAACGAAAAGATATTTTAGTCGATGAGAAGGCGCGTAATGCGAGATTATCCCAAAGAGCATATCAGCAATGGATAGAATCGAAGACAAAAGAAGGAATGATAAATAACACACTCTATAATAAACGAGACTTTCTTCATGAAAATAAAAAGTATGTTTGGAGAAATCGTCAATTCGAAACACCGGCAAAATTTCGGCGTGACGTTCAGTCGTTCAGACTAGAGAGACCGAATACACCCAATACGGCGATATTATTGAATGCTAATGATAGTCTCTCGTCTGATACCTGCGATGCATCACTTATTAAAAGTGAAATATTCAATCAAAAGACTGAGAGAATTGATAGAGAGATATCGGCAAAAAAACGTATCAACACTAGTGAACAAACATCCTCCCTATTTTCAAAAAAATCCTCGATATCATCGTCAACAATGGAACTATTGCAAAGCCAACGTTGGTCGTTGCATAGCATGTTGAAGAGAATTGTTGGTCTGGAAGAATCCGTGCCATCATCAAAAGTATCCAGTAGTAAAAACGTAATATCGGAAAAGAGCACGTTTAATGAACCATACCAAAGTGGAGGGAAACAATCCTCGTTAACAGTAAACAGCGACAGCGGTTTTGAGTCGCTGAATTAATTACCAGAAAAAAAGGAGATATGCTCTCCTACAGTTATCTAAACGTCGAAGTTCTTATATTCCATTTTAGGAACAGTCTTGATTGTGCAAATGTAATGCAACTGTGCTTTTGAAAACACACTGTAAAAAGATAAGTGTCTCAAGGCACTTTTTTGGGCGATGAATGGAACACTTTGAAAAATGTCCACTACAGGGCGCTGTTTTTCAGTTTTCGCGTTGACAGTAGCTACAAAAAGTACTCCATAGTAGGGCAAAGTGTCCCTTTCACCGCCCAAAAAAGTGTCTTGGGACACTTGCTTTTTTACAGTGCAAACGTAGAACGTAGCCAATTTTCTGTGAAACGGAAGTGTTTTTCATGTCATGTCTACAAGATTACATACTTTATAAACGCTGAGTATTTGAATGTACGGAGGTCAAGTGATTGTGCGCATATGTTCAATTTTAGAAACAGAGACGGAATATATTTGTAAGATTTCTCAGACCACTCTTTCTCTATCAATGATTGTGTTTGTCGATAATTTCCGTGGTGGCTGTGAATCTAGTGTTCTTATTAAACAACCGCATAAGGCTTTCTTTTGTTGTTATCTCTACGATTAATAGCAGCAATTCATTTTCCTAATGCAAACAGAATCGCAGTGTTTAAAGGTGGATACATCAAACATTTTTGTTGTATTTAAACGAAGAAAGCGAAAAAGTTTTAAAAATAAGCTTGTATGTATATATATGCGTATGTACAAACATTGCGTTTAATATTAATACGTTTGGTTTGATAACTACCTTTTTTTCTTATTTTGTATCTTTATACGTGTATGTGCACCTTTTTTTTCCTCTTTTCTGTTCTCATCAATGTTTCCTCATATCATCTATGATGTGTTAGGACCATGAACTGTCCGTGCTCTTCTATGACCACATATACTGCTGTATCATCATCCTATTTCTTCCCCTCTTTTTTTAACTCGTTCGTTTCGTTCCACTAAACAGTTGTCCTTGGTTCACTTTTCCCGGTGATAGATTGTAACAACAGATTGATTTTTAATGAACAAGTAAGTCTTTAGGCATTTTATCACTGCATTATTTGTGTCTCGCATATCATCATCTTTTTTGAAAACTAATAATTGAATCAGTCCTCTAGACTGTGCAGATATAGTCTAATTTTTTTAAACGCGATGTAGAAACACTAGCAATACTGTGGTACTCATCGGTTTGTGGAACATAAATAACACGTGAGATAGATCATTAAAATTATAATGAAAATGATGTGAATATTACAATGAAAAAAAATCTACCTACATAACTAAATCATATGTGGATAAATCAATCGACAGCTCATAATAATATATCATCCTTTTTTCGTATGAGTGAGAGTATATTAACATACATCATATTATACCTCATAATTACATTTTCGAAAAAGGTAAATCAAAACGCCTTTAAACACATAGTTACATTTGGAACAATAAAAAAAAAAAAGTTTTTTTGAACAAGACTAGAAGTTCGTGAGATTTTACTGTTTAATATTATATAAACATATTTTTTACAAAAAGATTCTCTTTTTTTACATTGTCTCTTCGTTTTTTGTTGTGTTTGTAGAATCACATGCAAATAACAGGTCAAAACATTTTTTAATGTGATTTATTAAACACCTGTGATTAACAATAACAACAAATGTGAAAATCATCTGACTATCTAAAAATATACTGTTATAATAAAAAAGATATTTTCATAATTGAAATATTTGTACCATGTATATATATCAAGCTGTTCGTGTTATTAAAAAGTTATTTTACGCCAAAAAGAAAAGTCATGGAATTTTTACCGTAGTTTAAGTACCCATGAATACATGCTAAATTATTCATTTTTTTTTAATAAGATAACTACAGGAGTAACTAGATTGTGCTACCTGTGTGTATAATTAATATGCAAAAACACTATTAACTTTTTTTTGTTGAATGCATTTGCCCATTTTTCTTGAAGCTACTCTTCATGACTGTGCCCACTACCAAATAAAAATTATCTTATTTGAATATTGACTTATAAGTCCTGGAACAGATTAGACTTACTCTTAATGCTATGTAGCGAGAAGACAAGTCTTCTCTCGATTTTATAAATCTTTTTTATAAGTGCAATTAGTACTTAATGTTTGCCTTTCAAAATATTCCTTTGAATCACGTGTATTGACCATGGTTCTATATGAAGTACCTTGATCTTTAGCCTTTCAAACACTTTAGCTTTTTTCTGTCTTATCTCGACCAATGGGTTCTGAGATGTCGATGGGAGAAGTTCATTTGGATCTTATTAGATGTACACAATTGATAGGTGAGTGTTGAGCAACTTTTTTGTTATAAAAGATGGCGTCATCTAATGCTTAGCCGATGCTTACACTAATTATTCCTATGATTTTAAGCACATGCTTAAAGTTTCAGCTTTGGATCACTTTTCGCAAAATATTTGTTGTCGCAAATTTAGACACTTATTCGTGGAAAAAACTTTGGGTTAAATAAAAATCCACCTTGTTTACTTTTCATACCTCGGCACATGTTTATCAGGATCAGTATACAACTCGTTAGATGCTGTTTGTCAAAATCTATCAAATTGTATATAATACGTCTATTGTTACTCGATATTTATGGATATTTCATGGCAATAAACTCTGCGATTATTCTACTTTTTTTAGCAAAATCATGTTTCTGTGAGGAACACTCCCCGAACAGTGGAAAATTTATTATTTCCATATAGACCATTGATAGTCCCATGTCACTATTTGTTATTCATCGACACTTATCTGGTTTTGGTTTTCCATTGAAACCTATTAGATTTTATCTATTGGATAAAATGAAGATATCTCGCATCCCACTGCCCCGCGCATAGCACAGATAAAGGGTGCTAACCAAGTCTAAATGTCCCATTGATAAAATCTAACTTGATCTTAAAATTGTAATATTTGTCGAAATTTTTGCGAAAAAATCGAGAAATTTAGTTTTTCTCCCATCCGATAACTTTTAACTGAACATTAGACGAATTGTGTATTCTAGCCAAATGTTCCGGGTAAAATGCGCCTAAAACAGTGGAGTCCAGATATAACCAAGAAAAAATCTGACGTCATCTTTTCGTCGCGACAAGAATCTGACTAACAAATTTCTATTAATCGGATTATTTGAATTTCTTTCCAGAGGAAATTCATCTTCTGAGGATTTTTTTCTCTCATACGGTATAATGACAGAGCAATCACCACTCTTAGATGAAAGTACTTTCTTGTATAGGTAAAACTATCGGGTAAATCACAAATGTCAACGAAATATTATTCGATCAAATTTCATACCAAAATCTCATTGATTTTCATGCTTATTGTCAATGACAGAAGATTATATAATAGAGAAGAGTGAAAAATAATTTATTTTTGTACATGAGTTTAAACTACATATCTCATCTATCAAAACTATTGAAGTTAAGAAGATTGAAAAATCAACAATGTGTAAAATGAGAATACGAGTGAAATAAGTTGTGATATTGCAATAGCGCGTGAGTCAAAATTTCACAGAAAACATATTCTAAAAGTCGACCAAAATAGTTATCTAGGTAAAGATTCAAATTATCGCTCACTTGAAACATGTACCATCTTAAAAAACGAAGAAAACAGATAATAAAAGACGATAGTAGCACAGAAATGTCAATATAATTCGTATATGTTATGCTGTTGTTGCTGCTTCTCCGTTATTAAGATACTATTGTCAGATAAGTTATGTGCGAATGATCTTATTGATACATCATCACACGAGAACAAAGAAAGGAATTCATCTAATTGTTTTTTTCTCTATTTTTCTGTGAATATTATAAAGGTTTTCAGTTTTTCAAACAGAGATATGTACAAAAGAGAGAGAGAGAGAGAGAGAGAGAGAGAGAGAGAGAGAAGAAAAGAATGCCTTTTGGGTACGTATAGGTAGACTGGATGTGATGCATATCTCAGAAGAAAAATAAGGAGAGAAGAAGAAGAAGAAGAAGAAGAAGAAGAATATTCTTTTATATACGCGAGAGTTATATTTGACAATGATAGCTTTTAATTATTTATACATGCTTGACGACATATTAGATAATAATTAAATCAATTCACTATAAGGTTTGCATCGAAATCTTTGTTTGTTTTTATACTACTTTAAATATTTTCTAGGGTTCTGTCGAAAAAAATAACAGACTGGAACAATGCCAAGGACACAGACTTTCGTAAGACTAAACAAGTTTACCAATGCTATACGATTTCAAGATCGACAAATATTATAGTTTTATAACAAAATCATAGATTTTTCTTTTGTACGTAGTAGGAATATGTATAATCTAATTTCTTTTTAAATAGTTCGACAAAGTTTAGATCATTGACTCTACTTGATATAAAAATTGAACTTTCATATTTAATATCAGGTTATGATTCAAATAATTAATTTTTCATCTTCTAATATATAATTAAATTTGGTCTTTTTTTCATTGATTTCATATGAAAAAGATCATCATCATCTTATTTATGTAAAAAGTGAATATACAGGATGATATAAAAGTTATACATTTTTTTTATTTAAATTTTCGATTTTTCTATAAACCCGAGAGAAGTGTGATAGGGAAGAATTAGGTAATATTTACAAAAATTAAATATGAAAAAGTAATTGTATAAATTTATCGTCTTAAGAGTTGAGGAATGCTAAAGTGGCATGTGTTTAAGATGTCAGACAAAGTAAGCAATCGTTTAAAATTATAATACTCTATACCGTTTTTTTTTCTCGTTGAAAATACTTCATTTATCCTAATAAAACAACTAACAGCATGATCATGTGCGCACTGATAAGATTAAACAACCGAATACTATTTGTATTATATGTGGATGTTTTAAAGTTATAGATCATAATATAAAATTAATCAATATTGAACGATTATGTCAAATAAAACAGATTCAAATTCGTGATTATGAGTGGAAAAATATTACATATTAATCAACGATATGACACATCATCTCGTATTCATATCATTGTATTATATTTATTAATCGCTAGTTTAACCACAGCATGGAGCATCTATTTTATCTATTTTTCTCGTACAGTGCAAAATCATATTGATACATTAAATGACGAAATAAAACTAACCAAACAACGATTAGCAATGATCGATCAATCGCAAATTAGTATTACCTCGTTTGACGGACTAAGGAGACAATCGCGACAAGCAGCAACTGCCAGGGGAGGAAATAAACCATCAGATTTACTAGTAGGATCAATACATTTCAAAGTACCGGTAAGAGGGAGAAGCGCAGACTGATGACTAAAATATCTTGATTCTTATTGCCTTTTAGCCAGTAGCCATGACCACATTTTGTACAAAATCCATTGATCATTGTAAAAAGCTTATAACAGATAATGAAGGCAAGGTCATTGAAACCTCTAACATTGTACAATGGAATCATTGTTGATTGTGTTTCAGCTTTCCGAGGACCCAAAGGAGACAGAGGTGAAATTGGACCTCGTGGCCCTCCAGGTTAGTCTTCACACACTAGTTTATTCATTGTCTTCAGTCGAAGAACTTTCCTTTAGGTCTACCCGGTTTTTCCATAAAAGGTGAGCCTGGATCTCCAGGCTTTCCAGGTTTAAGGGGTATGTGCTTGTCGATTGAAAACCTATTCATTTGCTTTTCCTCTCTTTACATGTTTTAGGTCAGAAAGGTGATCGAGGTGAATCTGTTCCAGGTATGCCAGGTAAGTACTCTTCTATGTAGAGACAAACTTATGGTTTAATAAAGATCCTGGGAATGATTTTTTTATTATGCATCCAGACCTTTCCAGATTTTTCTTTACTCTACAGATTGAAACGCTTTTACTTTTTATTCATTAGAAAATATCTAACATCTGTCTTCTTTTGTAGGCATGCAGGGTCCGGCAGGACCGCCTGGCTTGACTGGTCCTCCTGGTATGACGGGCCCACCAGTGCGTATTCTTGTTGATATTTTTTACCGATTTAACACTTTTAGGTTCTTTTCTTCTTTAAAATATTCAGGGTGTATGTTCATGCTCGCCTTTTGAGAAGGTTTATGGTTCACGTGCGTCCTCTGACGCCACAATATCTAAAAATGGAAAGCATGGTATGATGAAATAATAGACTAGTGGTGATAAATCAATCAAATTAAGTCTCAACTTTAGCTGTGTTGAGTCGTGCTCAACGATGTGTATTTTCGTTTATTGGTACACCAGTGCTACTAAAACAAGACAATTATACGTTTGGTGCTTGGATGAAAGATCCGATGCCGAAAACATCAGATGGTGCTCATAAAGTCTATGTCACTCGACATGTCACTGGTATGCTAATTGAAATCTTATCCTTTAGAGACATTTACCATATGTGAAGTATATCATTTAGGTACATTACTGTATGAATACAGTAACGAAATGAACTTGATCAATGATAAGCCGACACGTATTATTCAATTACCTTATCCTTATTCAGGTGTAAATCATGTCGTTTATCAAGGCAGTTTTATCTATAATGTTGAATATAAAAATAGAATCATTCGTATTGATCTTGTGTCGGAAACAGAGGCACAAAGTGTGATAATACCAGCTCATCGTGAACCGGTATGCTCTTCTCATATCATTTAGATAAATATGGTTTATACGTCCTTTTCTAATTTAGTTGTATAATACACCACAATCAAGTTGGTATGACTTTTCAATTGATGAAAACGGACTATGGTTATTATATCGAGAATCAATAACAAAAAATTTCATTGCGGCTAAAATTAATCCCGATACACTCGATACTCAAAAAACTTGGCAACTGCCATATAATCCACAAAGTCTTAGTCAAGGTTTTATTGCTTTTGGTGTCTTTTACGGTGTACAACATTATAATAAACAACAATCTCATATTGATACGGTCTATGATATTTATAGTAATCTATCGTTTACAACGACTAAAATTATTTTTGCAGTACCATTTCAATATCTTGTACAACTAACATATAATCCATATGAAGGAAAACTCTATGCATGGGATAACAAACATCTACTCTACTATGTCTATAATGTTCAAAGAGACAAAGCATACAAATGTTAACATTTACATTAGGAAAATGACTTGCAGTGCTAAATGAACCGGTGAATATTTTGAACAGTGAGAAAAGGCACGTTTAATGACTAACATTGTAACAAAAGTTTTTTGTTTTTGAATACATAGTTTAGGAAAAGATAGATACTTTCTCAGTTTTACAATGATAGATGCATTTAAAAGTTCGTGGTTCATGTAGCGTCTTTAAATTACGTTTTAACTTTCATAGTTTGTATTTTATTTTTGAACTATTCTTTGTATTAGTTTTATATGCTAATGGAACTTGTTAGTGAAGAAGAAAAAGTCAACACCGGTGTATATAAGAACATGTAAAAACTCATTATTATTTGTAGAATAATGTAACTGTCGGGAAACTTTTTTTGCACAACTATTTCGCATGAAAGGATGACTAGATAAGAACTAGTTATTGATCTGTCTAGTGTTGTATCATCTTTCAATCTAAGCAATATGATTATACAAATAGCTACGATATATGGATATATTCTCAAAAATGCTACCCAATATGTTTCTCACAACTGTAATCTTTAGTATGTAGTAATTAAATAATCAGTTCAAAAATGCTTTAATATCGTCCAGACTTGCACTAATATGTAACAAATGTGTGTGTATCTGATCGTCAATTTATTGTAGGCTGATAAAGATAAGCATATCTACTATATAAAAGAAAGTTGTCAAATAAGAAAAAGTGACTCGACTAGATACGCATCATATCCGCAGTTTTTTTTGATAACTGAACTTGAACATGAACCTTGAGCATACTCACTTTTTCTTTCCCGTTAACCTTTGAATAACGCAATCATGTGAAACGCAATTTATTGTATTTGCAGCCTTCTTTACTTTCTCTGTCCTTTCTTTGTTCTCAATTAAATTCTTACTGAAAATCCTAGTCGTTCTTGGAAATTCAGTACAGTTGTTTAGTGAAGAATCAAGAATAAGAGAGAAATAAGATGTTGGCATCAATACTTTCAAGATCAAATTCAATTCTCATTTTTTTGTCAATTGATTTGTATTTGTACTGACTGGAACTAATATAGAAGAAAAAAATTGAAGAAATAATTTACACCTAAATAAGTAATTTCTGGTTGATACACAAAAGATTGATATCAACCGACTGTATAAGGAGGACGTTATTTAATCATAATAGCAGCGTTCAAGAACAGTCGGTTCCGGCCGAATTGAAGGTGTTTTTAGAAAAAAAGAAAAACAGTGTTATGTAACATTTTTTTCCATTTATTCAATTGAGAAAGGTATACGTTTTCGGCAAAAAAGTCTCCCATTGTTAAGTAATTCAATATACAAAGACATCATGTGTTATTCTGGTTAGTGTTTACAAGTGTATCTTTCCACTACTATTTCTTTAAATAATGTCTATATAATTGTGAGATCGTTCATTACCGTAATTCTTTCTATTTTGATTCAATACTTTAAATTCAAATTTATCACGTATAACTTATGAATATAAGTGTCTTATTTTCGTTATATTACTAGGAGTTAAACTAATTAGCAAATAGAACTTTTTAAAAACATTTCTGAGTCAATTTAGTTATGGGATGTGTAATGCATTATAGTTTTCCGAATCTTGATTATGAAGTCGATCGTCAGATCATGTGTGGAAATTGAACACTCTAGTTTTTAATTCATACATTTGACCTCAAAACTTACTTTCTTTTAAGCAATTTATTGTCTATTTCTTAGTTAATTTTACTGTTTCTTACAGTTAGCTCACAGTACAATCCATATTATAACCGATTTCATATGAGAGAATATATTATTGCATTATCTTCGTTTATTATTACATGATGTTCCCTTTCATTTCTTGTTCAAAATATCTGAAGCGCATCGCTTCTTTTTCTTTCCCGTCCGTGAAAAACAGTGGCTTTGAAATGAAAAAATAGCAGAAGATTTGTTTTATAAAAAACATGAGGGCTCCTAGTGTATAGTAGACTAATAAACAAGTCTATCGACGACCGTCATTGTTTTGTAAAACTAACAATTATGAAGGTTTGTTCGTCTGTGTTTGTTATTGGCAATAATGAATGATATTAAATTAGTAATGTTACTTACATACATTATCCGATTTTTCAATATTATTTTATAGCTCGTGATGATTTTACTCCATCTGAATTGATTGGCTTTTCTTTTAATTACAATTGTTAAAAAGGAGAAATGTTTTCTGGAGCAAGTGCTTCAGCATTTTCTGGAGGATTTGGTTCTCCGTTTTGTTCACCGATGATGATGCCCTATGATGTTCCCTGTCCGCAGCCCGTACCTTGTCCAGTTCCCGTTCAAACTCCTTACTTGAGAACAGTTCTTCAACCGTATGATATGCCGTTTCAACATACAATTCAACCGGTGGGCGTTCCAGTTCCCGTCGGAGTACCTGTCCATCAACCTGTACCTTTTCCTGTTGATAGACCTGTTGGTATTCCCGTTCCACAACCTGTACCAGTACCTGTAGAAAGACAAGTCGGTGTTCCTTTTCCAGTAGCCGTTCCCGTTCCCCAGCCTTATCCTGTGCCTCATCCTGTGCCTCAACCATTTATTGTTAGAGAGCCAGTCGGTGTTCCCTATCCGGTAGAAAGCAGACATAGAAGCTCATATAGAGAACAAGTGAGTTGCTATAAAAGCTGAGATACTAAACTCACATATATCCCTTAACTTTCAGGAGTATTATTCGGCTCCATCATACCATCACGTAGAACGTATTGTTGAAGAACCAATTATAATTCGTCGACACAGACGACGCTGTCGTCGTAGATCATCACCACCACCTCAACCGATTGTAATACCTATACCTATACAAGCTCCTGTACAACAACAACAACTGCAACAACAATCGTTACAAATAACGGAGTATGTTCAAGATATTTATCCTCCAGCCCAAGTAATCACAGAACGAGTACCCATTGTAAGTATTTTACCGAAATAAGTTTAAGCATTAGATATACTAATATTAGATGATTCAAGTCGAACGCGAATTTTTTGAAAAAATATTATAGCAATCAGTGCACAAGGTAATTCACGATGCTTCCACAACACATTAAAACGCTCTTTTCTACTAGCAGAATGCTCCTTGTGACACGTTAAAGTTGGACTGGTTGAGAGAAACTCATATCCTCAAATAAATTAATATCAAATGTTCAAAAATCAAATTCAGTCTATCAGCACGTATTGATTTCTCTGTTACACTCTAAATAAAAACACCTCATGATATATATCTTAATTTTACCTTCCGTCTTACATTCTAAAACAGAAATGTATACTAAAAGAAACAAAAAAGGTTTTTAACATTCGCAACTATATATGAAATATACTTTTGTTTTGCATTGAGATTGTAAAATCCTTTCCCTTTTATTTGACACTGCTTTAACAATGTATGAAAAACGAGATAAGGGTTTACCCAAGTCCACTTTCTTGCTTCATTCACGTCGCGAACCCGGTCCTGGCTCCGCGATCGAGTTAAAATCCCACAACTCGTGCCGCGATCGCTAAGAAGTCGCTGTTGTCGTGGCGTGATCACGATGAAGTCTTACTTTTTGAAAATTTGTAATTCGCGAAATTGTCACGTGGCAATCGCAACATGATACAGCGTCGCGGTGCGATTCTCCCGTGCAAATCCTGTTCACCGTTTTATTTTGCTTACGCTCCTGGTACATTACTGGTTTTTCGAAAAATTTTCAAAATCTTGTCACATTTTAATATTAATAATAGCTTACGATATGACTAAAATAGTCTTGTGTAGTCGCATCGCGCCTACGCCATTCGTCTGCCTTCGCGATAAAAGTAGCGTGACTCATTTACTGATATTAGACGGAAAACGTGAATAAATAGCAACTAAAAATAGCGATCGCCAAAAATCGTGTCTTATTTCGCGAGTCTTACAGCGAACGCATTACGCGATCGTGTGATACGAATTTTTAAAGAGACTTGCGTAGCGACATGCGATAAGAAAGGGGACTTGAGTATATTATTACCGCTTTGAAAACGGACAAACACACTTCTACTAGTATGTTGTGTATTTTGTACTTGATTTCAAAAACCTCTCACAATACGCTTGACCGTATTTGAAACGGTTTCTTAAAAGGTTTTTGCGCTCTAAAAAACCAAAATGTCTTTCGTATATTTCAAATTCAGGAAGAAACCGTGAAATACTGTGTTTTTGGATGTCAAAGTGCGCATCAGATTTTTGTGTATTTCAGTTTTTCGAGGAAAAGATTTATCGGCGAAGGTTTAGAAAAGAAAACAAAAGACGATCTTGCTATTTTCGATTAATTCAAAAGCTATGACCGTTATATACAATATCGAGACTTTCTTACACAAAAATAGAAATACGGTTCTATACAAAATCGAAGGGTCTTAATGATATTTGATTATTCATGATTTTTAATAATTCCTTTTCGATCTGTAAGGAAAACAAAAAACACTTTTGATTTTTTAAAGTGTACCATAAGAATGATGGATCTAATTCAAGATACTTCTTTTTCTATACGATCTACATCCATATTATTTCAGGTTTTTTAGAGCAGTAGAGTCTACGAAAGGAATGACTTTAATTTCAAACTTCTCAAACACTATTACAAAACAGATCTATTAATTATTTTGCAGGGATATATGGCAAACAACACACTTGTACAACAACCCGGCTTAGTCTCTCTAACTCCCGGCTCTATGAATGTTCAACAATTTGCAACGACGTCTATGAACTGTCAACCAGGAACAGTTATGCTAGGAAATCAACCTCAACAACAGCAATTAATACAAATGATGGAACCAAGTGCTTCTGGTCAATTAATATTGAATCAAAATCCTGGTGCTAGAGTTATTTCTCCGTCAATGTCTGGTGTCATGGGACATCCTTCTATGTATGGAACTCAGATAATAGGCTGATTTAAACCAAAACGAAGCTGATTAGTTCATTTTAGTGCCATTGACCAATATACAATCGAGTTAAAAAAATGAAAACAAAGTATCTATAATTTAGTTAAGTGTCTTCCATCGCATGGAAGGCTCATAAAATCATCATTAAATACTTTGAACTTTTGATTGTAAAATAAATAGTCGATAAGCACTAAGTCTAGATTTTATAATGTGTTAAGTACAACATTTGGTTTCCTTCAACCCATTAATAAGGCATTTTAGGCAGATGGAAACGTGGTATTACATCTGGATAAGTGACGCCTTTGAAAGTTGGTACTAAAATGAAAATTTATTTGCAAAAATATTTGAGACGTCAGTTTTGTAGACGTTACTTACGTATTCCCTGAGCTACTGTTCCTGGAAAATAAGCATGACGTCCGAATTTATTACATTCAATGTGTCGTAAATGTGGAATTTTCTTTTGCAAAGGATCGCCATATTCCCGTTGAGTTTCGGTATCTGTCACATAAACTGGGCGCTGATGTCTGCCAGTCACTAACATTCGTTCAATAATCAAAATTATGAATTAAAAAGTAATTGTCAATACTTACTCTTTGCTTCCCACAGTGATGCATCTTCTCGAACGTTTCCGCATGTCCAATTTTGTTTTACTATAGCATTTGAAACAAACAAGAACTATTATTCCTTTATTAGTCTTGTTTTTTGTTTTGTACTCACAGAGGTTTCTGTTGAACTCTTCAGCACACTGTTGAATATAATCATCCATATTTTGATAGTTGAATTTTTCGCTATTCATACTTACAAACCTGTTCAGAAACAAAATTTCAATACAAATGGATGGTACATTTTATTTTGCATTTGAAATATTTTCAACATAAGTGAAAAAAATGCCAAATTCTATAAAAAGTCAACGATAATTCTTTTGTTTTTTTTTAAAAATAAACACCTGTTAGTTAAAAGCTGGAACATTGTACAGTCGCGTGGAGTAATTATGGTTAGGTCATCAAAATTTCATGGTATTTCTGAGTTATATATTTCTGAGACAGTTGGCTCAATTTTGACGGGAAAAAAGCGGTATTTAATAGTTAGGTAGATTTGAATGTTTTCTATCGGATGGTGTAAAAAATTTCAGAAGCTCAATAGTGTTAATGAATGATAACGGATTTCCTGCAGCCACCTTTCGATTGACCATAATTATCTCAAATGCCCTTTTCTAAAAAACACACATCCTCGTCGTTTCTAATTAATTAATTAGTAGTAAGCACGGTGTTTGCGGAAGGGTGTTTGCAGGAAATTCATTAGCATTCATTAACACTAATGAACTTCTGCAATTTTTTACACCATCCGATAGAAAACACTCAGGTCTACCTGACTATTAAATACCGCTTTTTTTCTGTCAAAATTGAACAAACTATGTCAGAAATACCAAGAAATTTTGATGATCTAATCATAATTACGCGCTACTCTAGTATTCGTATTATAATCAGTGAGTCTGTTTTTTCTCATAATTGAATGACTGCTAAATAGAAAAGCTGGTACATAAGATAACGATAAGTTCAATATTTCATGACAGAAAAGAATTAGTAAATACATTAGGAAAGTCAAATCTGTCGGTTTTCTTTTAAAACCAATAACATCAGGTATCTGTTGCATTGATGTTCTGTTAATCTGACCCATAAAAATATTTGTTCCACTCTAGTCAGAAGTTTTAACAGAAAATTTTGTCATATTGTGTTATTTTCTTTAATTTTGATGCTACGCTCAACGTGCCATCAGTTTTATGTCATTCATCTAAAACCGTCACTGCTAAATTTTTTTCTATTTAATTTTTTATTCGATAATGAAGTCAATTAACTTTTTCTTCACAACATTGCTTGTATCTGATCTTCTTCTACATCTTTATTCTCTCTACTTCTAATTTTTTTACTCTGCTCTTTAACTATAACATTCGTTCGTATACGGTATCATTAATACTAACGAAAAAAGCTTTTTTCTGTTCATCGTCTGGTAGTACTTTAAATAAAAAGCAAATAGACATATTCACACATTTACACACCTGCACTCATCAAAAGAGAGGCACAGAATGTAAAATTTTGATCACAATCGTCTCTTTTCTAATAAATAAAAAAATTTCAATAGAAAACTATATTTATTATGCCATGTTGTGGATACTACAAAGAAAGGAAACGTCAACCTCTCAGAACCATGTCTTCTTTCCATTAATTCATTTGATGGGTGAAGTTTCTTTTTAATTTTTGCCATGTGTGCATACATATTTCCAAATGTATTCAAAGGAACATGTGTTTTATGCAATTATTATTCTATAGGAGTGAAAAAAGAAGAAAAAAAAGAAATTCTAGATGAAATGTTCGGTCTGTGTGATGTATGGTGATAGTACACAGCCGTTTTCATCTTAAAACTATACGCTATTACTATTCCGTCAGCATTTCTTTTTGCTTCATTCATGAATTAGACTACATATTTCTTTACAGAAATATAAAGAAGGAAGAAGAGAAATAGTAGATGTGTATATGCGTTTATATGTGGTGGTCTAGTTCTCTATTCCTAGTATTGAAAAACATATTTATTACGCATTGAACATATAAAGTTAGGATGAACACACATAAGGAGAATCAAACAAACGCGACACGATGATAAACAACTGAAATGATAAAGAAGTTTTGATTGTTGACTTGATAAAACGCATAGACAAGTTTCAAGTGGATTCGACTACATCGCGCAGTGATAACAACGCACGATTCAGCGCCACAATTTCTAAACAACAACATGGACAAGTAAGTAGCAACTGTTTAGCAAATAAAATGATCGTTTTTCAGTGTGTACGAACTAACGTCAGCTGTTACTTGCTTTAAATTAGATCAGCCATTTCTCACCAAAAACGCTTCGTCGTTCTACTATTAGCCTGCACATAGACAACCATAAGTTTTTCTCTTCGTCATACTTTCTGGTTGAAATTAAAAAAATCTCTACTTGGAAAACGAACTTCTAAATCTAAATCATTTCAAAAGAGGAGTCCTTCAATGATAAGTTACACAGCGTCTCTACAGACGTTTTTCTAAATCCTCATAAAAAAAATCTTAATTTTTTCTAAAAACAAAGTAAAGCTATTCTAATCCCTCATTTTATCTTTTTTTTCTTATTTAGAGTAGACACTGAAAATTTAGACGTCAATATGATACATGTAAAAAACGAACCACTCGATATTAATATTGATAAAGAAACGGAGAGTTCTATTCCAAAAATTATTATTAAACGGTCACGAAAATCTTCGAAACCATCTAAAAACTTGTCCGATTTAATTTACCAACGTAAAGGACTCATACCACCCGAACACGTGAAATCCATAGCTATTTTAACGTCGTCTGATATTGTTGATCAACAAGAAGAAATAGATACCTATGAAACTCTTGACGATTACGATCGAATATCACTAGAAGCGAAAATAATGCAACAATCTTTACGTCAAATAAAGTCGAGAACAAAAAATGTTCATCTTAAGTCTTCAAAATATTCCACGTCAACATCACTCATTGACGATGAATCAACAAATGAAGTGGTCAGTGATACTGAACCAGACTACAGCGATAGAAATGGAGATAATGATGGACTTGATGAGCATCAATCAAATTATAAACATATAAACAACAATTCGAAACGCCCACGTCTTAGCTATGAAAAACGTCTTGAAGCTAATGCTAGAGAACGTGAACGTGTTCATAATTTAACGCATGCATTTGAATCATTACGTCAAGTTATTCCGATGTATCCAGATCAACCGAAACTGAGCAGATTGAGTATACTACGTATTGCATGTAGTTATATTCTTACATTGGGTGCATTGAATGAAATTGATTTTAGTGAAGGAGAAAACAACTATAGTTTTAGTGAGTGTTTTTACATGCTATCCAATACGATTATGTGTGAACTAAAACGAAAAAAGCCAAAAGATGATGCATAAATTTGTTGTTTATTTTTCTATTCAGTTTCAGGCAGTTCCAATCTATTTTTATTTATTAAAATATTGTATGTACACGAGTTTTTATTTATTAATCGTTTGTCTAGCACCTAGTAAGATGATGCCTGCAGGTGTTGCTGTCTTAGCTGGTATAGACTACAACTAGAGTTTTTGAGAGAGCTGAGTGCTTCTAAGATGAAATGTTTTAGCATTACTTTAAATTTACTCGTCGGATGGTCAGAACTAGGTACCCATAAATCTCTACTATCAACGTGAAATTTGGAAATTTTACAGCGATAGTAGAGGTTTATGGAGAAAACTTATGGATGCCTAGTTCTGACCTCGTCGGATTCATCTTGAATGCGTTACTAACAGTAACTACTTTGATGGTTCATTGTTTCCAGAAATGAAACTGTGTATTTTTCTGTTATGAAAGCAACCAGGTACTTCTACAGATTGATCACACACTCACACCCCAAACGCACCACAGTACGGGGTGTGATCGACCTGCAGAGGAACCAGCAACCATTTCTGATGTACATTATTATCGTAGTTTTAAAAGAAACAGTTTTAGTGAAAATATTTTGGGCCACGACGGTCCGGGTTTTAATTAATAATAAGTTGCCTTTGCTATGAAACATTATAAAAATAGTAGCTCTCCTGATCTAAGAACAGTGAAATGGGTATTAACTAACTAAGAAATCTCGAGAGCGGTTTTAAATTGCTCACCCGAAGTTTCTTTTTCAATATGATGTTTATAAAAGTGGTTGACCATCGAAAAAACTTGTTGAGCAATGATGAAGATATGTTTGTTAAAGAAGGCTAAATACGCATCAAATTTCCAGTGAAGTAGTTTAAAGTTTTGGACCTTTGTGATACAAACTATTACATTGAACTATGATTCACGTGGTCGAACGAACCAAGTGATCCTTATATAAAATATTTCTAATATACAAGCAGCGGTATATTGTTGAATTAAAACGATTTCCTTTCCTTCATAAGTTTTTCTATCAGTCTGCAAACGCATCTCTAATTCGGTGGTTCACTTCATTTAACCAAACTAACTATACTGTAAAACCTAACATCAGAAGAGTGAGTGACCATGCCATTCACTTTTCCGTATTGTATGAATTTTCTTTGTTTATCACCCACTTTAACAGATCAAAACTGTTGTTTTACTGGATAACCGGGCATCCAGCTTTTGTGGGAATGGATAGTGCCACTTATAAGCCATATTGATGAACCAAAGAGTGGATGACCGGTCACCCGATAAAACAAAGGAAACTCATCTGCTTTTCTGGATGTACAATACAGAAAAGTGGATGGCATGGGTTACTCACTTTTCCGAAGTTTTACAGTAAGTAGAAGGTAACGTTTCGATACCGCTTCGTTACTATATGATAAAGACTCAATATTAGCTTCCTGTGCATTGTCAAAACGGGAAATCATTCGTTCAATAGACATTGCTTTTTAGTTCTTGCAATAGCGCAAATTTTGATTCATATGTTATCGGAGTGAAGCGGCATCTTCCGTTTACATGTTCGGAAGTAATTGATCAATGCGCTGTTCTTGTGATGTAGTGCCTCTTTTAATCGATGAGCCTCTTACTGGAATGGCGTCAAAATTCTAACTAAAAAAATTTAAATCGATAAAACTGTGTCAAATGAAAACCACAGTCCAACTAACTTTTTAATTTTTATCTACTATATTAATGCAGAGTTTGTCGCCTCTTTCGCATGTAGATTATATTCCCACTAAACAACTTAAATCCGTCTTTAGGATGTTCATTGCATAAAAGTTAAGTTACATTTTATTTAAGTGACATTTTTGCATGTCGCTTTAGGAAAAAAATGAAGGCATCGATCCGACCGATGAACATGATTGTATCTTTGTTATTGGGTGGATCAACATAATTACTTCAGTCTAGCGTTCAGCTTCAAAATGTGTTTAGAGTAGCCTAGCATACCTTGTCGAATTAAGAGTAACGATTAATCTTATGCCTGTGATGTACGCACAATTTTGCTAAAAGGTGGGAGAAATTTTTTCCCACCTGGAACGGTAAGAAATACGAAATGTTCATAGACAGGATATAGCTTAAACTATAAACCATTTTTCTTATTTTGCTGGTTTTATAACTGCGCGGTTAAGGAATTTAGGTTCTTTTCCTGCATGAAACATCTGCGCACATGGTTAAACCAGGAAAGATCTCTTCTATTTAGATTTTAACTATTAAGGAGACAGTCTAATCTTATCTATTTACTTCGATTAAGTGTTTTGTAATATGGCTTAACGAAGAAATCTTTTTATTCGTCTACTATTGGAGTACGTATCGGTTAAAGCAAATGTTTCTCTATGTGTTTTTTGAATCTGTTTTGTCCTTTTTCTTTTAGAACGATTTACATTTTTTCAAACAGTTACAATGAGTTCAAAATCTGACAGTGGTCGATCAGCGGTACAACAGTCTTCTAAAGGTAAAAAAATGGTTCAGTAATGGTTGAATTGTATTTTGTTTGGCGTTTAAACAGTTTTTGATACGCCTTAGATTGAGAAAGTTTTCGGAGGCGACTAGTGACTCTTTTTCTTGTGATGATAAATGGGTCATTATATTAAAAAGGGGAAACATTATTATCAACTACTGTTTTCTAGCTGAAAGGATGTGAGGATAACAACGCTTTGTTTCTGTTATTGTTATTGATTGTCTAAGTAAACTAATTGTTGCCAATTTGCCATTCATTCTAGTGTTTTGGTTTAAAAAGGTAACACCTGTTATTTACAAAAAAAACACGCACTTTTTCTTGTTTTTTCCTAGTTTTCATGCATAGGCATCAAACATAACGTAAGTTATATAAAATTAAAAAAGAAACAATAGTAAAAGTGTTTCATATTTTTAAACAAATTTGTTCAATACGCGCCGTTAATAAACAGTCATTTTTCTTCCCTTGACTAGTCTCTTCTTTTCTATGTGTTATGATAAGCTAAAAGTTTTATCTTTCTTGATCAGAGGTTAAGTGCATGAATTTAGAGATAATTCAATTGAGTTCAAAAGTAGCCTGTTTGAATTGGAAGTGGGTTGCTTTTTGTGTAGTGGGAGCGAGATTGAGCGCTAAAAAATGTATTTTATTGTTGTTGTTGTTTTCTCTTTGCACCTATGGATATGGCATATCTATATTCTCTATCAAAGTAAAAACATTCTTTTTGTTGTCTGTGTATGCGTATGAAGAGAAGAAAAAAAACGTTTTCTAACGTAAATAATTTAGAAACTAATAATAATAAAAAGTTGTTTTGTTGTTAATGCTTTCTTGTATTAAACTTGATTTATAATTAACAACTTTCTAACGTGTGTATTTATCTTTATTATGCTTTATATTTTGCATGCTGCAAGCTTCTCACTTAATGCTCACCCTAATTTTGCTTAATGCCTTCTGTTGATCACTAACCAGTTTGCTTTAATCTAATAGTATTAGAAATCTATTCGAATGAATTATATGAAATACGATGATTATATAACTAAAAAATCATCATCTCGAAGTTCATGCACATCTATACCATTTTTTTTGCATGTTAGAAGCTAATGTTTTCTGTTATTTATATTTTTTTAGATTAATTAATGAATTGATGTAGTCAGATTAGATTTCTGTTTCATCCAAATCGAGAAACACTTTTACATTACGTCTAGAAAATATTTAAGACCACTTTTGCACCGAATATATAGAAACAGAAAGTTTTTTGTACTTTTTAAGGGTGTTACTGCTGTTATTGTTTTCAATTAGCTAAGTAAGCAGTTAAAGTAATTCTCAGTTAGATATAATACGAAAGAAAGATAGATAATCTCAAGAGCAAAAGTAAAACATCTTTTAATATAATTGAAAACTTGTTTAAGAAGTCAACCTATTGAGATGCAAAATGAGATCTTTACTATGTCTTTTTATTTGTTTTTATGATAATAGCTTAAGTACTTATGCTTAAAAAACATGTCTATTTCTTTTACACAGAGCTCTTAGCCAAAGTGCTTGATTTTTAATTAACTGCGTGGTGTGGGTTATTTGCAATACTTCAATATAACTAGTTTCTTATGCTTTGTTTTTCTGTTTGGTTTGCGTATAGAAGTGCCGAGCTTTTATGAAGGCTTGATTTATACTGGTCTAACGAGGTTCAATCATAGGATTTAATAAATATATCTGGACAGTATGTACGAGAAAACATTATAATACATAAATAAAGGATAAATCTATATTAGAAAACATTTATTTCAAGTAGAAATTATGCTTGCTTTGAATTTTTCGCGTTACTGTTGTAATGCTAAAACATAAATTCATTTTTTTTCACTCTATTATTATATAACACACGATATCCGTCATTCAGAAGACGACTCAATCCATGTTTCAATAAGTGCGTATATAAATGCTTTGATTCAATGATGCTTAGTCCCTCGTCCCCTATATAAACAAACTATATACGTTCTGATATATTCTTGAGCTGCATGTTACTCAAACCATCAAACGCAGTTATTTATTCATTAGAACTGTTCAAATAATCTATTTATTGAACTATTTCATGAATTCCTCAGCAGCATGAAATTTGCTCTTCATCTATGTTTTTATTGTGTTTTGCTTATTGATTTGTATTTCAAAATATAACTGTATTTGTTTGATAATAACCTCCACTGCTTTATGTATAGATTATTCAATAAGAAATAGTTTTTACTAGAAAAATATTTATTTTTGCAGATAAACAAGATTTTGTCTAAAAAAATCACTTGTTGTTTTTACTTATAGTCAAAATACGGTCATCTGATAGATAAAAATAAGATGCTCAATATCATTTGTAATATCATTTTCTTACTTTATTCAATTGATTGCTTAATAACTATTATAGAAGGAAAGTAAATACTAATCGCATGCAATTTACATAGCTATGCATCTTTTTTTTAGAATCAAATTAGAGTTTGTGTGAAATCCTAGGAAAAAAAGAAAATGTTAATTTTTATGTTTTTTATTTCTGAATAGAACTACTGATCAACATTTGACTCTGCTAATGAAATTAAACTTATATATATACATATATTGCCTTTGTTTATGATATTTATACTATTTTTTGGACGCTTGCATTTGTTTGCTTGTTTTTTCATGTTAAAAATAATGAAAAAGAACTTTTTCTAGCAAGATATTATGTTTTCAAATGAATGATGATTATTCAGGTTTTCTTCGTTTTCATTTACTACTAATACACCTATGCACAAATAATATATATTTTTTCTGCACATTTACACACATACACTGAAACACACATGACTATCTAACAGCTCAAACATCCAGACTATGTTGATAATTTAATGATTCGAATAAATGAGATTTTAATAACTATTTGCTTCGCTGTTTTTTTCTCAACTTTAGTTTTCTGAATATAAAAAACTCAAGGTAATGAAAACAATCATGTAACGAATAATGAACGAAAAATATAAATAAATAAACGTTTCTGTTACATTGTATGGTAAATAGTAGCTTCTGTTTGTGTTGCTTGTAGAAAATTTTTGAACAAAATAATAATCAGTGAATAGGTGATGCGTGTTTAATAAGAATCACACGTTAATACTCACAGTTTAACATATTACACGATATTGATAAGTATTTTTGTTACGCACTTTACCTGCATGATGTATTTATAATTACACAATTAATTAGAAAAATGTTAGGCTCTTCTTCTCCTACTGCTATATTGTAATAAAACTATCACAAAAATGAATATGTTAAGTAACTGAGGAAATTTACAAAACCTCTCACAACATACACACTCACATTGATCTCGATTATAAATATATATGCTGTGTATACTGATATTTTCGATGAGCGTTGAACAAGAATAACACACCAAACGTGCCATTTTTCCTTATTCAAATCATATTTGCGTTCAATTTTTCTTATATTATTGTTGTATTGCTTTTTTTTCAGGGATTTTTGTGCAGAAAAAAAACCATTCACATGTATTGTATACATATCTATTTATATTTCTCTTTCTCCCCCTTTTTTTTTTTACGCAATAACATAAACGCATTTTATAGGCTAGCTATAAAAATGAGTTAAGTAAAAGTCAAAACAAATTCAAATAAAATATCGTACTTTTCTATGTTTTAGAAACGTTGGTTGGACGTAGTAGTCATGCAAGTGGCAGTAATGATAAAACAAAAAAAACTAGTGTAAGTTGAAGAATTATCAGATCTCTTCATGTTTAGATTTAACTTTTTGTTTTTTTCTTGTAGGAATCATCTTCATCCACATCTTTAAAAACAAAATCGGATGATGAAACTCATAGAAAGAAAACAAATGAAAAATCATCGATTCAAAAGAAGGGTGCAGCATCATCATCAGACAATGTACAAACAAGATCTAAAGATAACGAAGGTATGCTTTTTCTTTTCGTTGATGTTCGTTTATCCAATTAATTTTCAATTTTAGGCAAAGTAAAAAAACGAAAGAAAAAACATAAGTCATCTTCGTCGACAAACAAAGATAAGGATGACGAGCAAAAGCGTTCACATCGTCATCGCTCTGAAACAAAAACAACAACAATCACAACAAGTATACCTCTATCGAAGCAAATGAATGTTCTAAAGCAAAATTCATTAACATTTTCACGTGATCGTCAACAAACTATGGATTTATGCGACGATATTGAATCATCGACTTTAACTACATCATCTGGGGCACAAAAAACAAATATTCTTCTGACACACTCACCTCCACCGCTAATGCCGACAATATTACGTATTGGTTCTAGAAATGTTCAACGTGGCTCGATTCCCTCACATATTGAACAGTTAGTTCCATCTGTTATTCACAATAGTAATAAACTATCGAGTAGTACTTCAGCAACAACAAATTATGAACCAAATTCCAAAAAGTTTCGTGTAGAAGGTCAAGTATTCATTGGTCCACAACCACAATCAACGATAACGGACGAAGAGAGAAAATTTGAAGAACAAATAGCTCTATTAGAAACAAATAGTAGTCATTTGAAATGGGATAGTAACACAAGTGGCAGTGATGAAGATGAGCACATTGAGAAAATATGTAAAATGAATAATACAGCAACAATAAGTGGACATATTCAGTTCAAATTTAATCGTACACAAAATCCATTGTTAAAAACTTCGCCGATAGCGACCAGTCCTACTTCAACATCGTCTACAACCGAAACAACAACTACAAAAAAAAAATACTTAAAACTCAAGCCATTGGATGTGTTAAATACCGATTTATCATCAAAAAAATCCCCTGTACGACATTCATCCTCATCACAGTCATCAAGAAATTCTTCATCTTCAAGAGGCAAAACAAAAAAACGAAAAAAGTCCGTGGATCAGCAAAAGAGAAAAGTTGATAAAAAACATCATCATCACGAGACGAAAGAAGAACATGAGGGAGAAAGTAAGTTGTCATCGTGCTCTTTATGATTGATCTCAACTATTTTCTTCGATCTTGTAGTTTTCTTTATAGATAATTAGTCAATAATCTTATAGGAAATCGTGTAATGTAAAACGCATTGCCAAAACTTACTTTCACGCATACAACTTGCTATCTTAGAGATTCTGCGCCTTGTATAGATTCTGCCGCTTTGCTCAATAGAATTTATGTGTGTTGTTATTGTTATTTAGTCAATTCGTTATTATAATGATTTCATTTATTAAATTGTAGATGCTTCCAAAGAAGATCAACAAGTTGACAATTCCACGGCGAAAAAAGTATCATCAAATGAAGAAAAAACGAGTGAAAGTCATGCGCAAAAATCAACAGTAAAAAGTGAAAATGGTAACAAACAACAAACATCTCGTTCTCGCTCAACATCTTCAACTAAAAAAGGTCGCAGACACCATCGACGAAACACAAGTCATTCAAGTACATCGAGATCTTCTACATCCAATTCATCAAAATCATCAACAACATCTCGTTCTTCATCATACCATCGTCGACGATCGTCACGTTCCAGCTCATCGTCAAGATCTCGTTCAAGAAGAACACGTTCATCATCATCCAATGATTCATCACGTTCACGTAGAAATCGAAAGCGATCGAATCGACACAGTTCCCACAGCTCGAGATCTACTCGATCAACGTATTCTGTACGTTATTAATTATGATCTGAAACAACTAATATGTAGATGATATTAGTATTTTTTATCCAATCATCAATTGTACTTGTAACATTAGTGAAACATGCTTTTTCTTTTGTATATTTTAGCGGCGCTCGACAAGATCAAGAACATCAACAACTTCTTCCACTAGTCGTTCGAGATCACGTTCGAGATCACGCAAGAAATCTGGAGGAAATAATAATAGACGCAAAGCTGGTGGACGGGATAGTGGAAATACAAGACAAGAACGAGGTCGAGGTGCTGCGAATATAAGAGATCGAAATCGTTCAAATTCGAAAGATTCAAGATTGAATACACGACGTTCTACACCTGTCCGAAATGAAAAATACAATATGAACTTGGGCAGTAATATAAATAAAATTCCAATTAAAAAGAATCCTATTATAAAAATGGAAAAACAGAACAGTATATTATCAACAACAAACATAACCACGGACACAAGTAAAACAACTACCGATGCTCTTATTGGTGTGACAAACGATACACCAATATTGAATCCTGACAATGACACAGTTACAATAAAACAAGAACCAATAATCCTCACAATGCCCAGCAATCAAAAGCAATGGGCTGGAAAGAAAGGTATATTTAATGTGTGTTTACTATCAAAAATTAAAGTTAAAAAAAATGCCGTATCTTTTCTAAATGCGTTTATTTTCCGTTGTAGCAAAAAATACAGCGAAAAAACAAAGTGCTTTATCTGCTATTGGAAATGGAAATAAAAATCAAACACAGCAATCGGCAGACATTGAACCTATGATTGGTCCTCAATTACCGCCAGAACTAGAGGTATTTCTCGTTGACATTAATTTGTTCTATGTTAAAAATAAAGAGTTTAAATTTTTTTCCAGAGAAAACTGAATAAAGATCGTCAATTTACGCCACCTGATATGGATGATTTAGAAAATTTAGAAGTTTTTAAAGATTTAAAAGTAAGTAGACTTAATAAAGTGTTTTGATAATTAATTATAGTACTACTTTTTGTACATAAGAGTATCGTTTAGTCAGAGTTGTTATAGTATTAGCACACAATAAAGATGTTTCTACTTTTTTTTTCAGTATCGTGCTGAAATTCATGCGGCTAAAAATCATGGTGAAATAACTGAAGATCAAGCGCAGCAGTTAATTCAACAACTTGAAAATCAAAAAGCATTTGGTTCAACGGTAGAGATGTATAGGCTGCAAACCCAGTCACCACAACAACACTCTCCTCTCTCTGCGTTAGCACTTGGTTCTAGTCCAACAGTGTCTATGTTTCAAATTCCATTACACACGGATACAATCCCATCATCCGGTTCTTCAATTATGTTTGAGCAACAATCATCACCAAGTAATACACCATCTTCCATGATTACACTATCATCGTCTAATGATGCCAATGTGGCAAACACAAATAATATCAGTTATAATCAGCCAACAACAACAACAGTTTATACACAAGACGGACAAGCAGTCATAATTCCTACATCAATGAATCATCATCAAATGCAAATAGGAGGACAAACAGTTCTTGTTCAATCACAGCAACCACAACATCCGGTATTAATGCCAATGCAAACAAGTACCGCAACTCATCAACCACGAATATTTGCTGTGCGTACTCCACAAGGCACGATTCAACATGTTATCGAATATCAGCCTACACAACTTGTACAACAACCACAGTATATTCAAATGATTCGACCTAATCTTGTTCAACAGCTTCAATTACAACAACAGCAACAATTGCAACAACAACAAATGTTACAAGCTTCAATGGCGGCGCAACAGGGTGTAGGTGGACCTATTTTATTACAAAATCAAGCTGGTCAATTCGTTTTAGCACATCCAACCCAACAACCAGCCACTCAAGCGATTCGTTTAGTTCACGTTCCTTATCTACCAAAATAATATTAGTGATATAGAAAGAACAATTTAACTGTGATATCTATCTATATAATTACATATACTGGAAAACTCTCTTTTGTTTTCGTTCAAGTATGATAACAATGTCATCTCTTCTTTTTCTTTTTATTCATTGAAATTGTGAGAGTTTATTTGTTTTTTCGCCTCGGGTTATTTTGATTAATATTCCGGTGAAAAAGCCCTTATATTATTCTGAGAAAGATTATGTCACGTGAGCATAGAACTAATTAATTTTTAAATTGCTTTCCGTTTGTTCTATATGTGGGATAAACAGATTGATTTTTTAAGGCAGAAAAATAGGGGTATTTACGTTTTTCTACCATTTTCTTTTTCAAACTAATTGAATTTTTTTGAAATACATAATTTTGTTTGTTTTATTCTTCGTCTGTGGTAGAGTTTACATCTTTCTAGTGGGTCGGAGGTATATCATTGCCTAGTCAGTTCTTTATTATTGCTCTGTTTTTCTGTAATTTAATCGACATTTTTTTTTTTTTGGTACAACTTTGTTCATTTCAAATAAGCTTTATCATTGTGGTCTTGTTTGATTTGAATTTAGTTTTGTGGATCCTCCTATTATTATTATTATTATTATTCATTACCGGTCCAAAGCTTATTTGTACGTGTTATCTTGTACCTTTATTTTAAGTAGTTGATATGCAAAACAATTTTTGTTCTTTTTTTGTAAATAAAACGAAACTTCACTATGGCTGCTAAATGTGTTGCTGTTGTGTAATACATTTCTTGTTCTCCTTTTTGATTTATAGTGATCCGTTGTTGTTGTGTTTTGTATACGCTCTCCTTCAATTTGCATTCTAAACGAGTAGTACTTTGACGAAAGCATTATTCGGGACACAATCCTCATAGTTTTTGTTTAGTTTTTTCTTTTTTCGTCTACTCATAGAAAAATCGACGATTATCGAGTAGAGTTGAAGTGAAATTTATTATTTCACCCACATTGAATTGGGACAAGTCAATCCCTTTTCTTTTTTGTTCCATATCTTCTATGCATGGTATCAAACTGATTCATGTAAATGTGTTTTATCTTAATGTGTTATCATACGCTTGAGGTATATACATTTTGTTGTTGTAGTTTCTGTCTCGTTGTCTTTGTTTTTTTTTCTTTAATTATTGAAATTTGGTTATTTTGCTTATAATAAATATGGTATTGCAAAACTTAAAAAAGGTTTTTTATTTTATTCAATTGGAGGAGTTGGCCTGATCAAGAAAGGAAATCATAATTTTCGATATTAAACAAAACTAGAAATCAACTATGCTTTGCAGAGATAACTGTGTCAACTGAGTAAAACCGTCCTAAGAAACAGTAAAAAGCATTGGGTGACGTTCATTAAAAAAACTTTCATTAAAACGTTTTTTTTTTAACGGAAATACTGGAACTTTTATTAAAAATGTTTTTAATGAAAGTCCCGGTGCTTTTATTAAAATGTCTCCTGAAAAACGGCTGTGACCTAGAGTTTTGGATGGCACAAGAATTTCATTACAAATTTTAATGAACTTTCTTTTAATGGAAGTTTTTTAATGAAACTCCGAGTAAAAATACTTGCTAAACTTATGACAGAAGTGTGAACGATTTAGTTGAAATGTGGCTAATCAGTTGAATGTGATACATTACTTGTCTAAAACTCTACAGAATACACTTTATTGTGAAAACAGTAGAGTAAGTCTTAAACTTTCTTTAGTGACACAGGTTGAATTTAACATTTTTCATCTAAAAGACTGCTGAGATAAGCATGTCCTAAAGAACAAAAACTTTGAATGAAAATTACTGTTTAATTGTTATTTTAGATGGGTGAACTTTATCTAGCCCATGTGCAGCGACGTGGTTGCATATTTAATTATATTACCGCTATGGCCCGGCTATGTGGGATGGGGTTACTCACCGGTAAGCTAAAATGACTTACCTTAAAAAAAATAGATGTCTTTAGAGATAAATAATCTATTTAATTTTGTCTGAAATGGTTTAGTCTACTCTTTGGAAAGATAAATCCTGCTTATATTCTGTTAGCAAAAAAAATTTTCCTTCAGTTTCTGTTTATTAAATGTAGTATATTTTCGCATCTTTAGTACTATGGATATTTACTTTCCTTCTCTGGACACACAAGCTAGAGACTTCTGAAAACGGTCAATTTCTCCATGTATATGTGACGTAAGATATAACATTAATACAGTTGAGAACGTTGCTGTATGCAGTAGTATATTTATTAAACTTCAGTGTTACGTCCGTCGTAGTTACTTTTCTCGAAATGTTATGGATTTTGGATAAATGCGCCTGTTGCGGGTAAAAAAGAATCATATAGAGATCTAAAGGGTGTGAGGTATTTTTTTATTTCAATGCACACACATGAGTTTCAGAGGTGGTAGTATTCACAAAAGAAAAGTACATTGAATGCATGCACAAGTCAAGCTTGTTTCTCGTAAGAATCATGTTTTTTATAAGGATTTTGGTTTTTATTTTCGCTTCTATAGTTATTTTTTTTTGAGCCATTATCAACAAATGTTTTCTTTTTCGAAAAATAGAGAAGAAATTGATCACTATTATTTATGTTGGTTGTGCTGTTTGAGCCTTGACAACTGGGTGAAATCTGTTATTTATACATCATTGGCGGTACCACTGTTTTTACCGAATTGGATTAATTACAGTTTGCGTAAAGAAACGTTTGCTATTGGTGAGTTTATTTCAACTTTATGATCTTCTAGTATTTCTATCTTCGACTCTTTTTCTTTTCTTAGGTGTTTTTCTTATTGTGACAGGTTTACTTTATTTTATAAAAACCTTCAAATACAAACAAATCGGTTCTGATAGTATAAACGAAAATGATATTTTAGTAGGAGGAGATGGCTGTCGACAATCTGTTTCAACACAAACATTAACTGCACCGGCAACAGCATTACAAAATCATGATAATCCATCGTTTATATCAGACGTAAAAAGTGAACATGATCAATCGACACCTTCTCAAACGATACAGCCGAATGATGCAAATACATCAACAGTTGTAAATGTTCAATGAGAGAACGAAATAAATATATATTTTTTTGTTGGTGTAATGTTATGGGAATATGTATTTAAATAAAAATTCATCTGCAAAACACTCTATTTAATCCGCATTCTCTTCTTTTGATACCTTATAACTTAGTACGATTGTATGTATAGAAGTATATTTTGAAAAAAGATTAGCTTCTGCTCCTTCATAAGTGTGCATTTAAAATAGTTATAAATGAACATGGAAGAGAATATTTTTGGGGATCTATTCAAGAAATACTCGAATAAGATGTAAATTATACGTATTATGATGAATTCCCAAGAAAGATTTGGTACCAATTGAGATAAGAGAAAGAAGAAAATAGTAGAATATTTTGTTTATACACTATTATATTTGAAAAAGCATAAATGATTGTTAAACACTTTCATTTCATTCTACCTATTATTATGCAAAGTCACATTCTGAGTATTATATGCAATTAATTCTAGGAAGTACTAGAAAAGTACATCGAAACCATGATCACAATAAATATTGATTATGCAGAAGCACTATCGTTTTCAATAGAGAATATTGATAATGACACAACGAAAAGAGCAATAAGTGTAGTCGAAAGAGAACGACCACTGGACAAAATAGAACGACCAGGGAAACGGTTCGTTCTTTCAGAAATGTACCATTGTTTACTGAATGTTGTACACAAACTTTATGTTCTATTTATAATAAAGTATGGTTCCTAATTCTGAATAATATTCTTGAACGGTTTCAAAAGGATCTTGCGGTATTTATTCACTGATTGAAACTATCGTTATTAAGTCAATATAGTGGTTGATTTTTTTGTAATATACAGGTCTCCACTTAAAAAGAACTTGAATACTAAAGTAATATGCGCAATCAAAAAGCTCTATTTATGTTCTATCCAACGGCCTCTAATTCATGTATAAAGATTTTTTCTGTGAGATGCAGCGAAGCGAACAATAAAAGCCTCAACGTTAAAATATTCTAACTTTAATTTTGATTTTTAAACTCGACTTTATTATACTAACAAATATGTTTTACAACCGTTTATTCAGCTACAGAAAAGCTGAAATCTTGGAAACTTGGACTGACTGACCCTTACTACGCGCCCAGTCCTTGAGACTGTCTTTCTGTAAATTTATATATGCTAGAGTCTTCAAGCTCGAGTGTGTTTACGTAATAGCGCATTAAAAACAGATCCCTTTAGAATAAAAATTCCAGTATCAGTGCGATTTAACATGTTCATACGTAGAATACGTAGTCTAAATTATATTTTACAGAAGATTACGATAGTTTATTTACAACAAGACACGATGGGATTCCTATAAAAAAAACTATTAGAATTTCACATTAATATATTAATTGTTAGTTGATGTGGTGTAAAGGAGATCATTATACCGAACATATTAATGAAACTGTTACAGTTTTTACCAAAAATTCACAGGAGATCATACAATATAACTTTGTGAAACTTCTGGTACATTTTTGACGGAACAACCCTACGTATTAACGTTTCTATAGATAAATGAAACCTTTTGAACATATACTATTGTTAGCAGCTTGATTATTCAGTTCTATTTCGTAAACTATTTTATTTCAATGTTGTAGTCTAAATCACTACTTGTTAAGGATAGGAGAAAAGAAAACAGAAAACAGAGTTTTCAATAGGAAAATATTTTAAACCGTTGAGAGCTATTCTTGTTTTCACTTTTCACTCCCATTGTTAGATTTACCAGGAATAAAAATCATATGTAGAACAACATCTGACTTATTCACTTACTCTCTCTCTTTCTTTCTCTTCATATTGTTATTTTTCTCCAAGTAAAAATTATATGTTATACGTTAGCAGTGAATATGCATATAGTCTATATTAGAAAGCCAGAGTATTTTTTGTTTGCTTTGAAAAATCAGGAAAATGTATTGACAATCGGTCGGTTCGACTCGAAAGCTCTATATTATTGAAATAAAATAATTTACAAAATATAAATGGATAATAAAGCTGCTAACAATAATATATGTTCAACTGTTTCAGAAAACCTGCCAATAGTATACTCTACTAGATAAATGAGATCTACTCTTTTACTGCTTATCTTAGGACGTGTTTAATCTCAAGATAACCGGCTATATTCAGTTGAGTGATGAAATGAGTGCGTTAACGCAACAACTGATAGTGGTACAATGAAGCAACGTTTTGAAGCTTGCTTTAAAATGTTGGAAAATATATTCGTTAGAGTTGATCGTATCTATATGGAGTGATCTTTGGATCGTAATATGACAGAAGATAAAAAATACTTAGAGATACATATGTTACAAGTATTACAGAAGACGACTGGATATTTTTTTTTGACAAAAAAACGAGTGATGATTTTTATTCTTGCTGTTGTACTTTGAACTATCTGTTTTCTTTTCAACAGACTTTATATTACATAATTTTAAGTTACTTTTTTATCTCATACTCATCTTACGCATTAAATTAATTATTTTTGCTCGACTTATTTCTTATCTCATTCTGTTTTTCTTTTTTGAGATTGATTCTTATTCAAAAAAAAAAAAAATCTAATGGATGATTTAACAGTTTATTATAACATTGTTTTTGTAATCGGTGTTTTGTTATTATGTTATATTATTAGGTATGTCATGTAGTAAACATTCTGTTTTATTTATCAAGTCATAAAGCTATTATTAATTAGTGTTCGAATGAATTTTATATCTCACCTCGAGATAGAAGCAGTTTTTAGGGTTCAAAATGATTTCTAGAACATTCTATACACGTTTTTTTTCTCTCTTTTTATATCTCATGCTGATATATTTATAAATGACACTGCTGTCATTACTCATCCACCTGTTAATATACCCGTACAACTTGTTGATAGTCCATATATCCTTAAACTTAATGAATATCGTTCGACGATAAAAGGTATATATCTTCAAACGACTATTATTTTGATTAAAAGATGTGTTAAACTAAATTTCTTAACAATAAATGTATCAGTTAGATAACAAACATTTCTCTTGCATTTAGATGGTATATACCTGAATATAGACACTAAAATATTTTGTAAATTAAAAACGTTTGAATTTGTCAATATACAACAATTCTATGTTGAACTTGAAAAAATCGATTTTCGACATGCTGTACTCGACGACAAATTTTTACAACAATACTTTGTTAATACATTTAGGTTGGTTTATAGTCATTTTTCATATCAAATAATATATTTTCTCTCATTTCTTTTTTCCAGTTTGGCACCTGGTATTCATAATGAACACATTTGTATGACAAATAATGAAATAAATCTACAAAATGATAGTGGAATGCGTAAAAATAAATATCCACTTGTATTGGTTTTACATGCAGATAATGAAAAAGAAAACTTTTTTGAATTAGTATGTTCCATGTTCCTATTCAAGATGAAGAGAATTTTGTCAAATCTTTTATTATTTATAGCCTATACAAGTATTTGCAATACATGTAAAATCAAAAGTAAATGATTTACCAACAAAATTTATCATGCGTATATCTAAATTATCGGACGGTAGAGTGTTAGTTCTACAGGTACAAAATATAAATTTTAAAAATTCTTTAAGAATATCGTTTTTCTTTTTTTATTTGTTCAGGATGTGTTTACAACTGGAACAGCTAGTGATGCACAAGCATGTGTCATATGTTTAACGGAAAAAATTAGTCGTGTATGTTTACCATGTAAACATGCATGTTTATGTTCAGTATGTTTTACACTTGTTGAAAAATGTCCCGTTTGTCAAAAAGTGGTGACCACTTATTTTCAGACATAAAATTTTATATTTTCTATTGTGTTTTGTTGTACAGTTATTTAAATAAAATCTTTTATTTGTTTTCTATATACAATGTTAGTTTATCTTGAGTTTCCTTATAAACGAGGGCGATTAGGGAGGGGGGGAGGGTAGTGAACTGAAGCTACTTACTTTCATTTTTGAGCTGTTGGTCTGATTCGATCGGTGAGTACCTAAAAACAAAATATTCGCATATTTTTATCAAGAATTGATAAGCTTAACAGAATAGTCATTCTGTTTCAAATTAAAGATATGTTCTCCTAACACTTGTTTTCAGTAAGAAAATATTAAAAATATAGGCTTTTTTAAAGTTGATTCTTCTCAGTATTTGTTAGCCGTGCATTTTTGTTAAATTTTGGCATTATTATTCATCTGTTATTGTTTTTTCAAAATATAAAAATTCCAAATATGAAAAGTTTCAGCAGTGGTAAAAATGACAATATAAAATCGTACTTTGAAAAATATATTAAGAATATAGAATGAAAATGATCTTTACTAATAATAAGTCTGCTTTTAATAGAGAAAAGCTAAAGATCTAAAACAACTAATTGGAATAACATAAAGTCATAAGTTTAATAGTCAAAGCAATAACAACAACCTTTTTGACGGTGGACTCGTTGTCGTGAGAAATGAACTTTAAACTAATAAGTTCAGAATTATGTACTACAAATAAGATTTGATAACACGCATAATCAATAAAAAAATAAAAGATAAAAGAATGATAATTATCTATATATTGTTAATTATGAGATTTAAGAGAATGAATATAGTTGTATATCGAGGAGGCGCGCAAGAATCGGTATGAAGAAGTACGACATACTAAATAAAAAATGGATAAGTAACTAATTTAACAGGTAAAACGTTTAATGGATTCATTTTAAAGAGAATAACTCTGTCAAAAGAACAACAATACTTAAGAACATACTATAATATGCATGAGTTTTTGTTTTATATAAAAAAATTGTATACCCCAGATTTTTTTTTTCTATTCGACTTTGTATACGATTTAAAAAAAATTAAAATTTTATCGAATTATTAAATAAATATTTCTAATAAAAGATTCTCTGTAGTGACTGATTTCCCCAATGAGATGAGAAGAGACATTTTATTGGCCTAATATCGGTACTAACACGGGAAATCATATGGTTTTTTTCTAATTTTTCTACTAATTATATTTTTTTTTCAACAAAAAATAGTCTGTTCAATAATAGTGTAGGCGTTGATAAACAAATAATTATTCAATATATATTTTATAAGTGAGTGAGATATGTTTACATGTCTTTTATCACATAAACAATTAATGCTGAGACGTGCGTAATACAACGTTTTTTTATATAAGTTCTCATTAATACTTACGCAGCGTGTTTACCATATTTCTACAAGAATAATATTACTAAAAAGCGATTATGTAGTATTTAGTTAACAAAATTACTTTATTGTCTACTTTAAGCTAAGAGATGAAAAAGTATTTAAGCTAAAAAGAAAAAAAGAACGAGATTTTTTTGTTTTATTTTTCCAATGATCTTCATGTAATTGCCACTTGAATTTTTTGATAGATAGTGCAGAAAAGAAAAAAGATAATCATAAATAATGTAGAAAAGAAATACCTATCTATTCTATTGTTCTCTCTTGTGGTCTGTATTGTATATCACCCACTCTTTCTCATCCATGTATCTATTTTCTTTTGAGAAAACCAAAAAATTCGAGCGACAATACGGATAAATTGACTTTTGCACAGGTACAAAAATCAGTCGATTTTCTTTCTTTAACTTAAATTTAAGTTTTAACATTACTTTTTTGGTCAAAAAAAAAACTTAAGATTTAAAAGAAGATTAAATAAATTATAAAATATTTTCTATTATTATTTTATTTCCTGCTAACTAGTTTGTCCGTCCACAAAGAATGATTGACATGCTGGTGCTTCGATTGATTTTAATAATTTTGGCTATATTGGTTATTGTATTTAGTAAGTAAATTTATAAATATCAGTGCATCTCATTTAATCATTTTCAAATTTTTGTTTTTGATATGAATAATGCGAAAGTCAATATTTTTGTGTATATCTGATAATCAAACCACATATAAAATCTTAGTCGGATAATTTTGAAGTGATGACTCGCTAACAGAGATGTTATATGCAAAAGTTTACTCCTCTTTAAGGCTAGCGCTTAATAAAACTTCATAAATCTCTTGTCTCAATCGTTTTAAATGATGTTCATTCAAGTATAAAGTTGGAAATATCGAGTAAACTTGAATAAATATAACGGTCTGATACACTGGGGTTACACTACGCAAATAATCTCGACTATTTCTAATCGTGATTAAACTAATGGGATTGCTACTTTAATCACGATTATTCTGAAAATCATAATTAAAGATAATTTTAAAGGGATTGTCCCCATTAGAAGACCCGGGTCTTCTAATCTATTCTGGAATTGGAATTGAGTTGGAGTTGCGTTTTTATTAGATTAAAGTTGAGTTGAGTTAAGATTTTTTCAACTCCAACTTCACATCTTCAGTTAAAAATTTGTATTTCACTGCTTTCTGCATTGATCACATTAGAGTTGATCGAAACAAGTCTCTCGATTTCCTTTCCCATGTCTATTTCTTAAGAAATATACAGAAAAGAAAACGAAACCTTATGTCGACGCGCTGGATTATTCTTGCTCACTTATTCACACCGTGTGTTGTTATAACCGCTGATATCTCTGTAAAATTAGAAAATACTTCAAATGGCAATATGTAGGTCGTCTGATTCTCTTAAAATAACTTCCTGTCGGAGTTGAAACGGAGTTGGAGTTGAGTTGGAGTCGAACTTAGCCGGAGTTACCCATCTCTATCTTGTGTTGTGTCCCAAAAAATAGTTTCACCCAAAATATTGTTTTATTAGCAATATAACTGACGTTCGTTTCTAAAAAAATCTTATAAACAGGGGATCTTCTATTTCAACTTTCACATGACGAGATCGATGGAGTCTTCTGTTTAGCGAGGATCTGCTAATGACAAAGACAATCCGTTTATGCTATGATTATCTTTAATCGTGATTATCTTTTAATCACAATTGAAGATAATCGTGATTCTTTGCGTAGTGTAACCTCAGTGATAGATTTTAAAAGTGTGTGCTTTAACTGGTTTTGTGAAACATGGACGCAAACATACTATCAAAACATCAATTTTGACTCAAATCTAATAGCTAAGATAGATTAAGCGACTATCTAATAGAAAATGTCAAATTTGAAACTGCAATGGATGAATTTTCAGCAGTTTATAGACTTTTTAATTATTTACAGGAAAATATTAAAATTGATATTTTGATAAGATGTTTGCTTCAATTGTTCACAAAACAAATTAAAGAAGCTTAACTACTTTTATCAAACCTATATTTAATCAGTTTTTTACGCTTTTCACAACCATATAGTTGACGTTGTTATTATGTACTTACAAACATGACTCAAACAAAAATGTTCTAGTCAAAATATTTAAACATTTTAGATGGTGTATCAGTCAATAGTTTTTACTCTTTTATTTAAATGCTTCAGATAAGACAACTAGCTGCATTGCTCGATGTATAGCCCAATGCAACTGGATGCACCGAGTTTAACTATGTAAAAATGTCAGTTTATGAGCACAATGTTATTTAGTTGCGTCTAGAGAAACCTTTATTTGCATCTACATATATCGATCAGTAATTTGACGACTAGTTGCATTAGGCGATACTCGATGCTTTTTCCGTACTTGAAGACTTATTTATGTTTTTGAAACAAGTTGCGTTTTTAATTTTTAGAATCCAATCTAAGAATCAAAACAGCGAGCTATGAGATTAAATATGTTTTCAAAATAGAGACCAAACATATGTCTACAATTTACTGTTCTCGATAAATTTGTATATTCAAAATTGTTTTCAGCAATTAGTGTTAAAAAAACCCACCTCGAAATCCTAATTATAGATAAACTGGTGTTTTTCTTTTTTGGAGGATCATTTAAAACGTATAAGATACAAGATTTATGAAATTTGATTGAGTCGTTCGTAAGATCATTTTTGTATGCAACACACCTATTTTATGTTGCTACACCGGAGATGTTCAGTTGAAAGTACAATAAAATATGAGATAAACATTTTGATTCTTTGTATTCCAAGGAAAAATAGGTAAACGAGATAATTTAGCTATAAAAATAACTTCAGTATCCGCTTGCATCTAGATTAATTACACATTTATCTAACCGGCAACGTAGTAAAAATTCATAATTATTCGAAACAGGTAATTGAACCCAATTGAAGTTATATAAAATGTATATGTATTTTGCTGCAGGCTATATATATATATTGTTCAGGCTAGGTAAATTTAATTTTTAATCTAGACGCAAATACTCACTTTACATTTTTTATTCGAACATAGATTCCTATTTTAAAGATTCATGGAGTATACAGTTTTGACCTGTATCTTGATATTTCAAAAAGTTTTAATTTCATGTGATTATAGACCTGGATGTTTTATATTTACAACAACTCATTTATTGTTTCAATATGATATTTAAAACTCGTAAATTTCGATCAAGCGTGTAGTTTGAGGTCAATTGGATTGAGAGACATGCTTTTGATATGTCGTTTGATCGACAGTTGTTCTTCATAAATGCATCTATTCGAACTATACGTAAAGAATATCCTCTGTTAAACATCTCGACACATAACGATCCTATTTTAATATTTTCTTTTCTTTATACACGAACAATATGAAAATGATTTCCTAATAAAAAAAAAAGGTTTATGACACTTGTTAGTATTGTGCTGTAGGAGGACGACATTTGACAAACGATGATCCGGAAATAAAAACAGTTCTTTTTTCAATGTATCAAATAAACTTGAATTAGAGAACAATGCGCCTCTTTTCGTGATATTTTGCATGTTTGTATGAGAAATAGATCGCGTAATATGAACTCAAAATATTAAATATCTCTTAGAATCTATCTTTGATCAAAAGAAAACAAAATTTCGCATGTTTGATTAGATAACAGAGATCCATATA